ACACAGCAAAAAGAAGTAGACAGTGATATAATCGATATGAAGCCAAAAGAAGAAAAGAAGAGAAGTAAAACTCCGGAAGATACTAAAAATAAAGGAGCTACTGAAACGAAATCTGAAGTCAAACCAGAAGAAGATCAAAAGACACAAGAAGTTGCAGAACATGTAGAAAAGAAACAGAAATTTGCTGAAGATGACACTGTCAATAAAGCAATTTCAGAAAGTTCAGAAAGTAAATCCAAACAATTACCTGAAGCAGCAATAATTTCTAAAACAGGTGATGAAAAATTGGAAAAAGTGGATTCTATAGAACAACAACAACAAAAAGTTACAGAACTAATCGGAAAAGAGCATCTTACAGGAGAATTAGTTGAAACTCAACAAGATAAAGAAAGCTTAAAAGCAAAAGATAAAAAGATAGAGGACGATAAGAAGCCTAGTACAGTTGATATAGAAGAAAAAGCAAATAAATCTGAAGACAATGATAAAGCAAAGAAATCTATTAAACGAAAGTCCATAGAAAAATCTAAAGACAAATCGAAAGAGAAATCAAAAGAAACTGAAAAGAAACAAGAAGTCGAAGAAGATAAAAAAATAAAAGACAGTCTTACAGATACTTCAGAAATAAAGACAGAAAAATTAATTGATGCTGCTAGTGCTCCTGAAGCAGTTGAAAAACAACTAGATGTGGCGGATATCAAAGAACAAGAACATGAGAAAATTTTAACTGATAAAATATTAGAATCCGAGAAAAACAAAGACAGCAGTGAAGCAAAAGATACAAAACAAAATGAACAAAAGAAATCAACCGACAAAGAAGAAAAAACAAGAAAGACGAAAAAAGATAGTACTAGCAAGGATGTTAAAAGAAAATCGAAAGAAATAATTAAAGATAAATTAAAAGAAAAAGAAACCGAAAAACAACCAGAAGTTGGAGAAGAAAAAGTAGAAAATCTTCTTGAACCTGTCATTGTTGCTGAAAGCAGTAAAGAGGATTTAACCATTCTTGACTCTAAACCAAAGAGAGAAGAGGAAACGAGTATAAAGGAAAAGGAAGGGAAACCACAAATTGTAGAAGATACTAAACAACAGAAACCTCAATTAATAGAGGTGGAACAAAAACTTGTTGACGAAGTAAATCAACAGTTGGAAGAGCCAGAAGACAAACAAAATTTAATAAAAAAAGAAAAGGATTCAAAAACGAAAAAACGAAAAGAAGTCATAGAAACTATGCAACAGCCTAAACTAAATGCGACAGAAGTAAATGGAGAACCTATAATAGAAGAGCAAAAAGCAAAGACAGTAACTAGTGATGAAAGATCTGAACCAATTAAAAAAGAAACGGACGTACCTAAACAAACAACTGAATCATGTTCTGTGAAGGATAGTGTGCCTTTAAGTGCAAAACAAGAAGACACGTCTACCAAACCTGCAAGAAGTAGACATGCTAAAAATGAAATAGAAAATCAAACAAATGATATTAAGGATAACGGAATTCAAGAAGTGATAATGAAAGGTGTTACAAAAGAAACCAATCTAACAACACTCACAGAGATAAAATCGTCACAAGATGAAATTGTAGAAAAGAAAGAACGTGATAATCAAGTAGAGAAACAAAAATTGAAATCCTTAACAAATGAATACAAAGACAGAAAGGAAACACGCAATGCAAAACGTAAACCTAATGTCGATATAAAATTGACTAATAGAAATTCCGCTACTGGTAGTGACATTAAACTCACTTGTGGTATATCCGGAAATGAATTGAATATTCAATGGTTTAAGGAAAATCAACTTGTTAGAGAAGATACCAAGCATAAAATATTCCTAAATGATGGGCTATCATGCTTAGAGATAGCAGCTGTAGACGCAAAAGATGCGGGTGTATATAGATGTATTGCTTCTAATCAAAATGGAGAGGTAGAAACGAGTTGTCTAGTCACTGTTTTTGATGTACCAACAAATAAATTTGGCACACCTCCAATATTTACGCGTAATATCAGAGGTACGACTTCTTATTTTATTTTCATTTAAATATTTTCCGAAAGAAAAACAATTTTATTTAAACTAATTACTAACAGTAAAGTGTGTTATTTTTAAGTTGATTAATATAGTAATATATAAATAGGAAATTCTACTAATTAAATAAGAGACTTAAAACAATTTACTTAAATTATATACATACATATATATAATATATTGTATGTATATGCTTATTGTACATATGTATATATAACAAAAATATTTAAATGGCTTTACTAAAAAAATAGTGTTACCATCAGCTTATGCGAGAATGGACAATAAAAACAGGTAAATATATATAAAATTTAATGTTATATATTAGTTAATAAAAATATAATATTCATTTCATTCCTTATTACTAGTTTAAATAATGCTACATAATAATTTATGTTTTTAGTATAAGTATAAAAATGAGAATAACATTAAGTTCAAACTTAATTGTAAGTTCTTAGAAAGTCATTAGTTTCTCAGAGATGATAATGAAAAATAATTTTTTAAATTCAATTACTCAGAAAGTAGGCAGGTAGCCAGCTAGAGACTTCAGGTGATAAATTGATCTCATAAGATTTATATATAAATATATGCACAACGATGATAAAATAAGATTCTCGGTAGTAAAAATTGAGTATAAATTATGTTGTGGTTTCAAGATTGTTAAAGTGAAGTCATATAACTTATTTTTCTGTATTTAATATTTCCTTATGATTTTCTATTCTATTCTATTAATTACACCTAATATTAAAACATCATTTTCTGCTATGCAAAATACTGAAAAAAGCTGGAAATGAAATTGGTCATGATTGACTGTATGTATGATATTTGCTATAATTTCGATTTAGTAAGATATTGTAGTTGCTCCGAAAGAAGAGATTCAACTTTTCTCAAAAAAAATTTTCTTAAGAAAGAGTTCGGTTTCTAATTTTTAAGCTATACTCGAAATAAATTTGTAGCCATGGGTGTTCAGAAAGTGTTCTAAATATATTTGGCAATAGCTTATCCAAAATTTGACAGATATTCGCTTTTAAAGCATAGAGAATATGGTGTTTTAAATGTGATTGTTTTAGTAATTGTTTGAAAATTTGTACTACCCTAAATACACCAATTTTGTTTATTCTCATATAATTCTGAACACAACACGTATGTATGCAATCTCTCTTAAGTTATGATTCTCATTCACTTTGGCATTCAGGTTTTATAATAATCTCAACGTTCATATTAAGAATGTTAAGTGTATAGCGTCAATATTTATAAATTTCAGAATCGTATTTCATAAATTGGATTTAAAAAATGTTGACGTTAGAACATTTAGTTTCAGAAAAATTTAGTAAGGACTTTTTTAGTTTTCGGTTGTGAATAAATTTTTCTGATAAATTCTTCTGGACATAACAAAGGAGAAATTTATTTAATATATGTAGCGCTGTGCTTTTTATTTAGTTTAATAAGAAAACTATCGGAGTTAATACAAGCCACAAAAACCCGCTATAAATAATATTATTAATAATATTAATAAACATTTATTCTATTATTTTATATCTAACTTGCATATTTCATTTTAAGTGGGTTGCTTTTGAATTTAAATTTTTGTATCTATTGTATTCAACAAAAATTAATATTATAATGCGGAGCACAATCGTGATTAAGAAACTCATTAAGTCATTAAAAAAGTAGATCAACTGAATTTTTAATTTTCTTGACTGTATAGCCTCATTGAAGGCTTATCAAAAAGCACAAACTGATAACTTTAAATAGCGTAAATATGTCGTATTAAATTTATCAAGACATTTGCAACGATTGAAAATTAATCACAGATTACACAATTCAAACTCGTTCTTAAAACACAAGACAGATGAATAGATTGATTGATGTCTGTCAACTTTCGATCGCTTGCATTGATTTGTACGTTTGTCTATTTATCTGTTTGATTTTCTATCCGATAGGTCTAAGCGCCTGTCTGTTTAGTAACTTCCTTAGTTTTCGAGGCAATGAAATGCAATTTTACACTGGGATGTTTTGTGAACCTGACAGATGAAATAGACAAATGGACGAATAGACAAATGGATATTATAATAACTATTTATATAGGGTACTGAAACTTGATGGAGTCAGAGCTAACTTAGTATCTGTGATTTAGATATTACTTATATTTTAAGAATTGAAATATATGTTATAAAAATCTACTTATATATCAAGTACATCCGAATTATTTAAAGCATTTTTTCGGAAAAGTGTTTGCGATACAAGATAGGTAGGAATATATATTTAAATGAACTTCAAAATAATAGAATTAAGTAATACCATATATGTCTTATTATTGTATTGCAGAATTAATTCACATTTACAATTTATTTAAAGAGGGTTTTGACTTAGAATTTTTTACTATTATAATATTGTAATGGACAACATACAGAAATACAAAATATACAACACTTCTTTTTGGAAGTACATTAAAAATTTTTCATTAAAATAAGTCATATTTAAACTGTTATCCTAGTATCCCCATTTTCTGTCGCAATCATTCAGTTCCTTACAGGATAATAAAATTATTTCAACAAGTACAAATAGTTTTTAAGAAGTAATTATTAACTCTAAAAGTTGACATCACAAAATACACACATCTATTAGATATAGGAATAGTTTTAGTCCTCTATACAGAAATCTATAGGAATTAGAAGAGAATTGATAAGTATTTATGTAGAATTGAATATAGCAAAGGTGTTTCTGCATAGATACGTAAGCATGCGACTCCTTGTATAAATAGAATAATAATGAAATCTATAAATAATGCGGCAATGAATCTTATCGAAAGGTAGCAGAAGCATGAAATGGACGTCGCATTCACACGATTTTACATAATTTGATTTACAAGTACGAATAACGTGTGAAATTGAAATAATTGAATTATAATTAGCTTTTTGGCAATTGAAGTATAAATATTCTTACTAGTATTTGTTTTGAAGAATTCAATTGAATTATTTCGAATTAAATTGTCGACTGAGAAGGATGAATTGTTAGATTCGGTTCGAATACTTTTAGTTCGTGTTCATTTCAGTCATAGTTTTAATTTGTTATCGAATAGACGAAATAAATAATCTCTCTCGACCATTTCGTTTCGGTACCTTATAACGATTTGTGAAAAAATTTCCGTGTATAAAACTCATACGTTTACATAATAGTGTCAATAAATATTTTTTAATTTCTTTGAATTTTTTGGAAATAAGTGCTTAAAACTATGGGTGAGACAGAGGGTGAAACTACGGCATCTGATGCCCGACCTTCGGAAGAGAAAGAATCAACTCCAGCACAAGAAACTCTTCAAGTTCCTTTGCCAAAGAAACGTAAATTAAAATCCCCTACACCAGGTAGCTTACGTGGTCGTAGTGCAACTCCAATACGCGGTAGAAGTCAAACTCCTTTCACCTTGTACATGACACGTCGTAGTGCTACACCGTCAACATGGCGCAGCATAACACCATTTTTAAAACGCGAAGAAAAAGAAAAAACTCCCTTTGAGTTGGGCAGGGATATAATGATACAACTAACTTGCAACAAAGCAGTCTTTGACCGTGCTCTTATTATGGATATATCAGAGACAGAGGAGAGCCAAAAACCTGTTCGTTACATAACGTCAGATATGTCCGTTATTGATCGTGCTGCTGTAATGGACGTTTCAAATGTTGAGGTTATCTATGTTGTTGAAGAATATGAAGAAATGGAGGAAGAAGAGGAAATTATTGAAGAAGTCAAACCAAAGAAAAAAGGTAAGGGTAAAAAGGCACGTACACCTAGAAAGTCGGTGGATAAAGATGCAAGTCCTACTGGATCTGACGTAGATGGCAATGGTGAACAAAATGGTGACAGGGAGGAAAGCATGGAACCTGATGATTCGGACGAACCTGTTAAAAAAGGTAAAAAGAAAGCTGCACCAAAAAAGAAAGAAAAGAAAGAGAAATCACCAAGTCCAAAGTTGACCTTGAAGCTAGAAATAGGTGGTGGTCAAAAAGCAAGCAAGAAAATGTTTGAACAGCAGGAACAACAAAAACCTGTAGCTGGGCCTAAGCCACCCCCAAAAAAGAGTAAACTACTTTTACAAATGGAAGAACAAGCTAAAGCAGCTGCAAAGAAAGCCGAAGAAGAAGCAGCTACAGCTGCTGCAAAGCCGAAAGGTGAAACTTTTGCCGAACGACAGAAACGTTTGCAAGCCGAAAAAGAAGAACAAGAACGTTTAGAAGCTGAAATACGCGCACAACAAGAAGCTGAAATGGAAGAAATGGAGGCCTCCGGTGCTGAAGAGGATGAAGGAGATGAAGGTGATGGCAGTGAAGAAGGTGATGAGCATACAGAATATGGTGAACATGGTGAAGGTTCTGAAGATGAATATAATGAAAGTCATGGTGGTGATGATGGGGAAGACGATCGTAGCAGAGGCGATGAAGATGGTGAGCGAAGTGATGATGTTGCTAGTTTGCGTGCTCAGAAAAAACGTCGTAGTACTTCTTCTGATGGTTTCACTCGTCCCCGTCCGGAGGACGAAGAACGTTGGAAACGTATTGCTGAAGAGGATGGTGAAGAATTTATGCAGCAATTGCGAAAATATAGTGTCGCACAACGTATATCAGAAAAGGAACGAGATGCTGACTGGCAACGACGCCGAGAGCAAGCTCGTAATCCACATTTCATTAATTATTTAACTGACCGAACAGCTGAAACTGGTCAAAAAGTACGTCTCGCTTGTGCAGTGGGTGGTCCAGAGTTATCGGTCAAATGGTTCAAAGATGGTCGACAGTTGGAACGTGATGCTAATCATCGTATAATAAATAATAATGATATTTTGGCTCTTGAAATTGTAAATACAAATCCCATGGATTCCGGAGAGTATACATGTGTCGTAGCAAATATGAATGACGAAGTTACGTCCGCTTGTATTGTAACAATCTACGACGTTTACAAAGATGAACCTAAGCCTCCATCATTTAGACTGATAAGAGGTACATATGCGAGTTTATATGTTGCAAAATGGTTCGTATAACCATAATAAATTGTTTTATTTTTTTACAGAGTATTATCATTTACGAGATGACGAACTTACAATCGAATGCCATGTCCATGGTGTGCCACGTCCTATTATTACATGGTGGCGTGGTGCATTCGAAATTAAACCAAGTTATAAATTCACGCTTTTGGAGGAGGCACATGGTGTATGTAAATTACTTATTTATAAACCCTCAAATAAGGACAGCGGATCATATATCTGTAAAGCTATAAATGCTTCTGGCGAAGCGCAGATCACTCACTCGGTCGAAGTTGCTAAAAACAGACATTTCCATGTGCACGGAATATTCCATGCACGAAATCAAATTCAAAAGGATAAGGAAAAGGCAGCTAAAAAAGCAATGGAAGAAGCTTTAAAATCAAAGGAGGAATCAGATAAGAAAAGAGCTGAGGCAGAGCCTAAAGCCAAAAGTTATCGTGCTTCTCCTGAACCAATGGTTTCACCTAAGCAGAAATTAAAGTTCGCTACACAATTACGTGATCGCATGGCTCTTGAAGGCACAACAGTAAAATTTGTATGCACAGTAATTGGCCCCGATCCAAATTGCCGATGGATGAAAGACGACAAATTTGTTGTTGTTGGAGGAAATGTGCGAAATCTATCTGAAGAGGGTAAAGCTATATTAGAACTGCGAAACGTATCAGCAGAATCGTCAGGCGTTTATAAGTGTTTAGCCAAGAATGAACACAGCGAAGTAGAAACTTCGTGTTATTTTAAGGTGTACCCTGCCCAAGCCGATGGCGATGAACAAGAACCAATGTTCGCACTACCATTGCGAGGTATGGGATAAAAATGTATACATTCTTTTTTGTTTGTATTTGTTATCATTATTTGTCAACGTAGACTCATTTAATCATTGCCAAAAATTGAAATTCTTCTATGCATTGTAAAATCAAATGGCAATATCTAAAGAATTACTGTTCTACAACACATACTACTCTATAAATTTTAGAGAGAATTTTAATTACATTTTATGTACCATTTGTTTTATTGTGCATTAATCGAGGTCAACAAGTAAAAATAGATACTTCAAATATTTCTTATTGATTATTTTACATTTTATTGCTACCCTCTTACGTTCTTAGATGTTTACCATTCGTCTGAAAATGATCTTATTATCGATACAAAGGTGCGCGGCAACCCGCGCCCTCTTATATCGTGGATAAAAGACGATTTACCAGTTGTTTTAGATGATCGCAAAGTGCAAATCGATCATTTGGATGGTCTATGCGAATTGATCATTAATAAGCCAACATCGAATGACAGCGGAGTATACACTTGTGTAGCTGATAATAAATTGGGCAGCCAAAAAATTACTCACACAGTTGTTGTTGAACCCATACAAACCTCAAGACGTTCAAGCATTTTGTCAGGCATTATGTCAGATACAGACTCCGCAGCTGCTGCAAAGGGAGAGAAAAAGTCTAAAGATGATAGTGGTAAACCACCCAAAGCAAAGAAGAAGGATGAAGAGGGTGAAGGTACTTACGAGCGAAAAAGCAAGATGCCCGATCCTACACCAAAACAACAATTGTACTTTATTGCAAATCTATCGAACCGCTATGTAGCTGAGGGTTCTAAAGTAAAACTACAAGCTGTTATTGGTGGACCTGATCCAACAATTAAGTGGCAAAAAGATGATCAAAACGTCACATATGGACCACGTATACGCAATATGAATCGTGACAGCTTGGCTGTACTTGAATTTTTAAATGCGTCTGCTGAAGATTCTGGTACATATTCCATAATTGCACAAAATGAATTTTGCAAGATAACTACATCAGCTCTTCTACATGTATATCAACCTAAAGTTAATTTAGATGTTCAGCCTTGTTTCGTGCGGCCATTAAAAGGTAATAGATACATATATATATATCAAGGTATTCATTTAAAAAAAATATAATACGTATATATAACATGTGTGTTATTAAATATTTGTGTGATCTATTATTATTTTTCCCGATTTCATTATTTAAATTGTATATTTCCTTAATTTATGATAGCACCATAATCGATTTTACCTATTTTTTAAGTTAAATGGAAATGTACAAAACAACAACGTTAATTTTTTTATCTCATATCTACTAATATAATAAGTAATACCGCTATATTATTAATTATCCACCCATGCATCAACAAATTTATATTGCTGGTGGAATAGGTGTAACTCTACCATTTACTATAAACTCTAAGCATATTGTGTAATGTTTTTACCAACTGTGAGAAATTGATTTTTTATACTCATTTATAAAAATTGATTCATATGCGAATTTACTATATTAAATGAATACCTAATAATACTCCATACTTTGAACTTCATACATATTGCTTTAATTTCTTTAGAAACTTACCATCTAAATACAAATGAGTTAATTATGGAAACAACTTTACGTGGTCAACCTACTCCAGAAGTTCAATGGTTTAAGGATAGTATGGAAATTCAATCTGGTGGAAGATTCCAAATAATAGAACATCAAGATGGCACTTGCGAATTAACTATTGATAATCCAGATAATAAAGATTCTGGAAAATATGTTGTTAAGGCAGAAAACCGAGCTGGCAAAATGGAGATATCTCATTACATGATGTTTGAAGGAAAGGCATCACATATTGCTGAAAATATACATGGTATATTCCACGCAGATAAAAGCTTACTCCGTGCAAAGGAAGCTGAAGCGCCTGTGGAAGAAGTCGTTAAAGCGCCAGCTGAAGGAGAAACCGACCAAGAAGGAGAAGGAGAAGAAGGTAAGGGGAAGCGACGTGGCAAGCGTAAAGGAGCCAAGAAGGCTGATGATGAAGAGGAGGGTGTATCATCAGCTACGGATTATGCTTCAGATACTGGTAGCATGAAAGAAAGAAAACGAGAAAAGGTTATTGGTATACACTTCGCAACCAATATAAAAGATCGAGTGGTTGCGGAAGGTTCGAAGGTAAAAATCTCATGCTTCTTAGAAGCTAAAGAACCGAATGTAAAATGGTTCAAAAACGGTGAACAAATTCAGAATAGCCCTAAAATAAGAGGACGTTATAGTGAAGGTTTATGTTTGTTGGAAATCATGAGCGCAACAACTGAAGACAGTGGCCAATATATGTGTACTGGTCGTGATGAAACTGGTGAAGCCTCAACTATGTGTAAGCTGGAAGTTTATAGCAGCCCCGGTAGTGGTGATGTACCACCTACATTTACACGTAACATTAAAGATACTGCACATCCAAAATTAAATGAACTTAAATTAGATGTGCACGTACGCGGTTTGCCAACACCATCAATTTCATGGGTAAAGGATGGTGTACGATTGGAATCTAGTGACAAATATCAACTTATTGATCATGATGATGGTACATGTGAATTAATTATTAATGAACCACTTCAAAGTGACAGTGGTAAATATATATGCCAAGCTGATAATCGTGAAGGCAAAGCAGAAATTAGTCACATTGTTAATGTTGAGCCGCGTAGAATGCGGCCAATTTCACCACCAAGAGAAGCCAAACCACCAATTAAACCTGAAGCAGAAGAAGGTGAAGAGGGCGGTGAGGAAAAGGAAAAGAAAAAGAAAAAAGCAAAAGATACAGAAGAAGAGACAACTTCTAGACGAGAAGCACCTCCACCACCAGATCTAAAAAAATATCTATATTTCATGAATTTCTTATCTAATCGTACAGTTAAATCAGGTAGTAACGTTAAGTGGATGGTTAATATTGATGGTCCTGATCCAACTGCACGTTGGTTCCATGGTGATCAACCTATTGCTTTCGGACCTAAAAGTAAAATGGCTTGTCAAGATGGTATAGCTTGGTTAAACTTAATTGGTGTAACCGAAGAAGAAAGCGGTGAATACACTCTAAAGGTAAAGGGATCAGAAAATGAAATCATTAGCACTTGCAATCTTTTCGTCTATAGCGCTGGCAAGGTAGAATTAATTTCACCCACTTTTACAGTAGGCATTAAAGGTAAGTAGCATGCAACTTTTATGTAGCTATTTGTGCTGTAAATTGTGAACAGTACTCGTAAATGATTAACTTTAACTGTGTATCAGGTATGTAGGCAATACTTTCTCATTACATTAAAACTAATAGAAAATAACTTCATAAAATGTATAATGAATTTATGTTTATGTATGTGAAATCATAAATCAACATTACAGATGCTTATAATGCACAAAGCAATCAAATTACACTTGAATGTAAGGTTTCTGGTAATCCCAAGCCCACCATTTACTGGCAAAGAGACAATGAGTTACTCTCACTCAATGATGAAAAGTACGAATATAATGATTTAAGTGATGGTATCAAGCAATTGATCATTAAAAACCCAATGAAAGACGACACTGGTCTGTATACATGTTACGCGGAGAGTGATAGTGGTCAAATGAAGATCAGTAAATTTGTGGATATATCCGATCACATTCAAAAAATAACTGAGAAAAAGACTTTACAAAAGATGGCACAAGATCTAACGAAGGATAAGGAACTCAACAAATCATTGCCAGAAGAAGTAGCAAGCAATAAATCAAAAGCTAAGGATGCTAAATTAAAATTAACTGTAGAGTCGGGTATGAAGCCAATGTCCATCGGCGCGGGCAGTAAAGCGCAACTTATATGTTATGTTAGTGGATTTATTGAAGATGTATATTGGCTGAGAGGAGATGAACGTGTTACTAAAGACACTCGTCACAAAATGTACAATATTAATGGTGCTATTAGTTTGGAAATTTATGATGCAAGACCGGATGATACTGGAGAATATAAATGTGTGGTGCGGAATAATAGAAATACTGTAGACAGTAGCTGTGTGCTTAAAGTATACAAAGAAAATGAAGACAAACTACCGAATTCTTTCTCTAGTAATATTACAGGTAAATTTTTTATATGTTTTAGAAGTGCTTCAAAATATTACTATTAAGGAAGAAATGCGTTTGATTGAAATCATGATTTATAATATTAAGTAGCAATGAGTTCAAAATAAGTTGCTTTGAAACAAAACAAAAGTTTAAGATTAATAAGAGAATAAAGTAATAAATTCTTAACTTTTTTACTACCTTTTTTTAAGTTTTTCATATAAGCTGAAACCTTATGTTGTCTATATTCTTCATTTTTCTATATATTTCACTATTTTCGTCTATGCTAATAGCTGCATATGATGCACATCGTAATGAAATTGTGTTCACCTGTTTCGTTCACGGACGTCCAAATGTAACATGGTTACGTGATGATCATACAATATCAAACAATCGCTATAGAACTTTGGAAGACGCCGGTGGTTCGCGTAAACTGATAATACGAAATCCTATTCCAACAGATTGCGGCACATTTTCATGTTTTGCTGAAACTGAGCAACAAATTGATGCAATTAGCAAAACAATTAGAACAGCAGATCTTAAAGATTTAATGTCTACAACAAGTGAAGAACCTATTTATAATGGTAGGGGTCATTCCAGAATGTCAAGAGAATCATATACACCTTATGAAACATATATTGCAAATGATGATGACATTTATCCTAGTCTCGCCACTTCGCATGGAGAACGACGTATGTTACGTTCAATGTCACATACAAAACCACTTTTTAGTACACTGTTACACGATAGAACGGTTACTGAAGGTACAAATGTTCGTTTAAGCTGTAATCTTGTTGCCGATTGTAACACAGAAATAGAGTGGCTCAAAAATCATAAGCCTCTCAAGTCCGATAATAGATATCAAACTCTGTATCAAAATGGCGTCGCATCACTTGAAATAATTTCAACCACTGCCGATGATAGTGGCAGTTATACATGCCGTGCCACAAATGAATATGGAGAGATGCATACCCAGGCGCAGTTAAGAATCTATAAACATTTTGAAGATGCAACGCAGCCATGTACATTCACACAATCAATCAGAGGTAGTATACTCATTCTCAAATTATTTGTTAAATTTACTAAATTTGAGTACATAAATATTGCTTTTAATAGAGGGTTACTAGCTAGCTTTAGTGAAAGATGTAAAAATACGCTTAAATTTTTACGTTCTGCTATCAAAACTATGAGAATATATAAAACAGTCACTCATTATTTTATTATTCCAATTTACACAAGCTTTTTATGGATCGATGTTTTATGTTTTCTTTTCTGTTCTTTTATTTGTTTTAAAGAAATTATTTATAAAATATTAAATTAAAATGTTTTAAATCATTTGAACAAATTCAGATACTTATTCTCTTAATGAGAATGAATTAGTCTTGGATTGTCGTGTACGTGGTAAGCCACGTCCGGAAGTACAATGGATGAAGGGTAACGATCTTATAACGAATGATAATAAATATCAGCAAATCGATCAGTCCGATGGTCTATCAAAACTTATTATCACCAATCCAACTGAAAAGGATTCGGGCTTGTATGTTTGTGTTGCACGAAATGAAGTAGCTGAGAATAAAATTACACATCAAGTCGATTTTGTGGGCCGTGAACGTTTCACATTGGAAAAAACACACGGATACTTCCACCGCGATCCAAATAAGCCACATTTTATCATGCCACTTGGTAATCAAACTGTCTGCCCTGGTGGCACTGTTGCTATTAGTGCTGAATTTACTCAAACTAATACACCCATTGATGTGCAATGGTATCGCAATCGTCAATCATTGCATGGTTTGCCAAATATAAAAACAATGAGTGATCGTGGTGTATATACGTTAGCTATTCTAAATGCTACACCTGAAGTTGAGGGTACATATACCTGCCGTGCCTCAAATGCTTTCGGACGTATTGAATCACATGCTAGTGTCGACGTTTCCCTTGGTGAAACAAAGGACGAACGGCCACCATTGTTCCTTTCTAGACCAGAACAAGAAATGAAAATTGCGATTGGCGATCCGTTCTCACTTTCATTCAGAATTGCTGGCGATCCAAAACCGAAACGTATGTTTATTTTCTTTTTTTTTGTTTTTAAATATTTTAATTTAACTTTCATATATTTTTTCCATATTCCAGTCTTTTTCATGAAGGGCACAAAAGATATCACAAAATCTGAACGTGTTAGCAAAGAGGTTTCTGACGATTATACAAGATTTACGGTTCAAAAAGCGGTAGTTGCCGATTCCGGTACTTACTTTGTTGTTGCACGTAACAACTTTGGCACAGACAGAATATTTGTAACCATCACAGTAAGTTGAGTGTAGTCACTGCCAAAAATTTAATATCATAACTTCATTAAAAATTAAGAGTACATTCAGATATTTAAAACTGTTAATTTTTTAACAGCAATAAAATTTCTTCTATGCTTCCACATTTTTGTATAACATTTAATTTATATAATATCAGTGAGGTTTAAATCTTCCTTCCTATGTCTATAATCACAATAATCTTCTCATTTCACCTAATTATTTTATTACTATTTTTTATATTCTATATTTAATGCTTTTTTCGCTTTTTTTAGATTGCAGCTCCAAAAAAGAAAGAATAAAAAACTAATATAATGCTTTGCACCAATACTTCCTATATATATTAGCAAGCGATTTAGTCTCCTTAGTATAAGCACTATTATCATTGTTAAATTTTGTTCGCAATTTACATACTTCAACTTATTTACTGTTCCCTCATAGGTATTACCTCGCACACGCTCTGAAACACCAACGGTACCACGTTGGGGTCTACCCCTAGAGAGTTTTCCAGATGTTTCATATTTCAGAGGTAATTATTTGCTCAATTATATATATGTATATATAACTTTTTTATAATGTTTGTTAATTGTTGTTAAGTGTTGTATGTAAGTGCTTGCCTAAGATACGTAATTTAGATGATTTCAATTGAGAAAACCATCACTAATGAACACATATCTTTGGATTTAGCAAATATTAGATTAGAATCTTAAGATATAGTCTTTTAATATTGAATTTTAAATAAAGACTATGTATTACTAGCAATATGGATATAATATGAACAATACATAATACTTAAATGGAATTTAAACACCCTATTGACTTCGCCAGTAGACTTTTTGAACATATATATATTTGATTTTGTAATTAAATGTACTCTAGAGTATTTAAAATATTAAGTTTTTCAATTTTTCCAAGCGGAAATACGTGTATTTCTGTTGCTTGTTGTAATTAGGCAATATATATGTATATGTATGTACACAGTACTAGAAAGTGCATCTATAGAGATTCCATATAATATAAATAATAAACATATAAATAGTAGATCTGGAAGTAATAGTATTACTTAAATGTATTGTAGCAGATCGTCGGTTCGGTCTTTACGCAATTATTTGGGTTATGATTTTTAGGAGAAATCTCCTTTACATATTCTCTAGTTTAGAGTTTTTCACTCGTCGGTACCACATTAACACCATTGGCTCGTAAAATATTGTATTTTTGCCTTTAATGATATCACTTTAAGAACAAATTGGTACCAGTTCTTGCAAAATACAATGATTATTTGTTCTTCTATAATATTAAAATTAAATTAAAGAACTTTAATTGAAATTGTAAGAAATTCAGAAGAATGCAGCTTCTCCTGATTTTAGGAGTCAAACAATTACTTTTTGTTCAATAGTAACTTTTGTACCAAATATGTATGTATATCGTTCGTTTTGTGACGTCCAGTCAACCTATGGTCAAAACTGTCAAGTGTCATGTTTAAAATGTCACCTGAAAAAAGTACTCAAAAAAGTACATCTATTCTCTTTTCCAGATATCTGCCTTCATTTAAAAATGGAAATTATAAATTTTGACTTCAGCACCTTACATATGGAATTATTAAAAATATCGAACTTTAAAATAATTATAATTTTTTATTTTAATTATTAGTGCCAAAGATTTTTATTCAACAATTGTATTTAGTTTTCGTTAGTTAATCAAACGAAATCATTTATTTTTTTGCATTATATAAATTTTTTTGCAAAAAGTGATCAAATATTTATATTACAGTCCAGGTTTATATACGAACTCATACATAATACATATATATATTTTAAATCATTTAATAAAACTATAAAAAATATTCTCCGGGGAAATGCTTGTTTTATTTTGTATTTTATAGATGTTTTTTAAGTTGAAATAAAAAATTTAAATATATGCTTACAACAAAATATATAAATGTTTATAATATATCTGTTTACAAATATATTTAAATGTGTAACACATAATTTAGATCCCCCTGGTCCCATTTCAACGGAACCACTGGTTGTGGACTCTGGACCAACACACATCAGTTTATCATGGGGTAAACCAATTAGCAATAATTCTGCTCCAGTAATTGCATACAGAGTAGATGCCTGGATTGTAGGCCATGAAGGTGGTGCTATGTGGCGAGAATTAGGTCTAACGCCAATAACATCCTTTGATGCTTTCAATTTAAAACCAAATATTGAATACCATTTCCGTGTTACACCTAAGAATCGCTATGGATGGGGACCGTCGATGCAAACTACCTCACCCTTACAAGTTGGTGGTGCTGAATGTTTGCCTGAGTTTGTTAAAATTTTACCAGGGCAAATGAAGGCTTTGCTCGGTTCACAGTTTGTACTAGAGTGCACCGTACGTGGTGCACCACGTCCACAAATCACGTGGTACAAGGACGGTATGCAGTTAAGCACAAAATCAGATCGCGTCAGAATCAAGCAATTAGGCTCAACTTGCTCGCTTATGTTAATGCAAGTATGTGAAATGGATACTGGCCGATACACTTGTGAGGCAACTAATTCCAAAGGTCGTGTCTCAACATTTGCACGATTGCAGGTTGTTTCCGATCCAAAAGTTTACGAAGCTGATCATAAATTAAAAGAAATTGTACGTAACGATACCTCATCGAATATGATTGGAGATACTCTGCCTATTTTCACAATGCGTTTGCGTGATCGCCGTATACAGGTGACATATCCAGTTCGGCTCACTTGCCAAGTAGTTGGTTTTCCGACGCCAGATATTACGTGGTATAAGGACAATGAGCCATTGACATCAAATCGTCGTTGTGTTATTACTGATGAAGGTCAATTTCATACTTTAGAACTAGTAAGCACATCGCTTGATGATAGTGGTTCTTATACATGTACGGCTAAAAATGAACTCGGCTCTGTATCTTGCCACTGCTCACTAGTTGTTGACAAGGGAATACGTGCTTATATATCCCCAGAATTTTATATGCCACTTGATCCTTTATACATATATCAAGAAGGGCAGGAAATTCGTCTAACTGCTAAGGTTGAAGCATATCCCTCAGTAGGTGTATCCTGGCATCGTAATGGTGTGAAATTACGTCCAAGTCGTAGAATCCTCGCTTCCCTTGACTGTAATGGTTTTGTAGAATTGGTAATTGCTGAGGCTACATTACGTGATGCTGGCATTTATGTTTGTGTAGCCTCTAACGCTGTCGGTAAAATTGAGACCAGTTGCCGAGTTGTTATCGAAGAAGCGGATGAAGATCAACAGCAGTCCAAACGATCAATACCAGCAATCAGAAAAACAGATATGCCGTAAGTGTAAAAATATATCGAATTAAGATAAAATTTAAAACATTGTTTATAAATAGTTACTCAAAGGAACCGCTCTTTGTGGTAAAGCCTAGATCTAGCGAAGCTTACGAAGGTGATACTGTCATAATATTTTGTGAAGTGGTTGGTGATCCAAAACCAGATGTCGTTTGGTTACGTGATTTCTTAAATGTAAGTAAATCTTGGTACCTATAATATTTTGAAGTTCTAAATAACAAATTTTTTTATAAATATTGTTTGAGTTTGAACGAAAATTTATAAGTGTCAATAGAGCGGAAATTGCTGAAATAGACTGCTTTACTAGATTTTAAATGCAAATGGGTTTTAGTTATCTTATCGGGTGAAATCTACTTACAGTCCCAAGTTGTGAGGTTAACAATGTAGCTAATGCTTTCTATTGCCGATGAATAGCAAAACAAACTATCAAAAAATTAGTTCCCTAAAGACATAATTCTTTTGGAAGCCTTGTATTGTGGATTTCTTATAAAACTTTCTACAACTTCGACAATGAATATTAAAAGGGATGCATTGATTCTTTTCGTACGTTACAATACACCAATGGTCAGAGAGGACTGCAATAAGTCTTGCCATATTTGCGTAGCTTCTGTTCCTTGTTCTCTTGATCTGGTCTTATTATAGGTATAAAGGCCAGTTCGATAGATAAGTTATAAATAACTTACTTCTTTCACTTATTGTTTGCTATTAATGAATCAAATCAACATTTTTGGTTTCAAATGACCATAAGTGATATTCTACTGATTGCAAACATACATGGTATGTGTTTTATTATAGTATACTATACACAGTATAATACAGATTTTCTGAGGGTAAGAATTGTGAATATGCTACTATTTGAATAGGTTTAGAATTTTGAAAACATTTAGCATAAAATATATTGTGAATATATATAATGGACGTGATATATTGATGTATATGTATATAGTATATACTATGTATATAGTATATATACTACGTATATAGCATATAAATTACACGCGTATTTCTGGTATAAGGAATATAAACAGTAGTAGATAGCGATACAAAATTCGAGTTTATTAAATTATAATTATAATTATAATAAATAAAAATAAATAATTGATCAAGCTATCTAGCTCTAAATCAAAATAAAATAAATTTATTTACTTGCATTTTTTACAACTTGAACAAAACTTCCAAGTATTCTTTCTTATTTCTAAAATATATAAAATATATAATTAAATTATATTCAAGAATATTTAAATAGTTTAAAAAAACTGTACAGAAATCACAATCGCAACTAAATTGTATGTAGATAGATGCAAGTGTGATATACAGACATCATTTGATATATTATCGTATATGGAATAGTTACATATATGAACAAATTTATATTCTATTCATTTATTGCAAAATAAGACAAATGTGCGTCATCAAGGTGCAGTGTTGCAATGCCAACTCCGCTGCAACTGCAGTTCAGTTGAGTATGAAATCGCTGTGAATGTGGGTCGTAAAGCGCGCAATTCTAGCAAAAACTTCAGGTTGAAAGAGTCAAGTTTAAAAGACAATTCCAAAAAAAAAAAAATAAATAATAATAAAAATGAAAAAATAAATATGTGTCTATATACATAACAAATATATAAATATAAAATTTAAATAACAAGTTCGTTATCTTATGAAAAGTGTGGCAGGTTGTAATGCTTCGTGTGATCGCCCTTATCAATAATTGTCCACGTGGGCTTACTCGGACTGAGCGTGCGAATAACTTAAACAAATAAACCGTTTTTAATTAGAATTGTTAATGAATTTCCTATATTTTATTAAAATTAAAATATAATAAACAAAAAAGCTATTTATTGTAAACAATTTGAAACAGTTTTGATTTAGCTTTAACGTTGTCTAAACGTATAAATTTTTTTTGTTGTTACAGTTGTTCGTTTTAAATTAAAATATCCTTAAAGAATAAAACGGACAAAGTGTTTACATTACAAAAAATATTAAAAAATTGAGTACTAATACAAAAAAATAATAAATTCAAAAAAAAATAAAAAATAAAATAAAAATTATTTTAAAGACAAAATTCGAAAAGTAAAACATTGATTATTAAAATTCCATGTAATTCTGAAATTATAGAATATTTTATATTCCATAATATTTTTAACAAATAATTTGCTTATAGTATATTTGAAAAATAATAAACAGGAAGTGAAGGTAAAATTGCATATATTAAAATAAATTAAATTTACAAATATTAATTGTTAGCAAAACGCATTTATCAACATAAAATCAAAATTCATGTACAGGATATAAAAAGTATTTAAACTTATGTAAAAGCAAATAAGAATACACTTCAACGTTTTTGTGACTATTAGATTATCACACAGCTCAATGAAAGAAGATATTTTTCCAATGAACAATTAAAATTTAAGTAACGTTAGGTTAGGTTGGAGTATCGGACTTTAACAACAAAGTTACCTCTAATTCAAATAATAACCCATTATTATACCACCGATGAGACAATATCTGCATACCACATCTGCAGTACCACCCTAAAGCTTAAAGTTCAAAACACCTAGCACACGAACAGCATCGCACTGAAAAAAAACGACTCTTCTTTTCAAGTAAAAGAGAATCAAACTGATAAATTTATAAATATGCTTATATTCGTAAATTAAATAGATATTATGTTGAAGCTATTTGAGCCAGTGCACTTGAGCTCTTTTACTCTTTCGTAATTCGAGGTATTTTCAAAACCCCTCTTTACGCCTTGACTGGATTATTGTTTATCACTTCATCAGACTAAGCAATAATTGACCTTAGATCAATCTTGAGGTTCCTGAGGATATCATTCGTCCTAATTTACCATGGTACCTTGAAAAGTCTTCTCAGAGCCTGGCTTTGTGCAATTTTTATCTGGCGAATAGTAGTGCTTGAAGGTTTGCTAAACGCTAAACATCCATATAGAAGTGACAGACGAATTATTTGGTTAGATATCAGTTTCCTGTTCTTAGCATTGTGATTTTCATTTCTGAATAGCGGTTGGAGGTGATGAAGAATTTTGGCACAGTTAATTCTTTTCAGTTGAACATATTTTAAGCCATGTGAATCGTTTGTCCAACGTGATGCCGAGATATTTAACGCTATCCTCTCAGTTTATTAACATATCACCCACTCTCACTCTCGACAGTGCTTTAATTTAAATGATGATAACTTTGTCAGATCAGTTAGAAAAAGATCATTAAAGATTTTGTACCCTTTTCTTGCCAACGATGGAAACTGACGAGTAAACTATGCTGGATTAAAATTATATATATTTTCTTGCTAAATTGAAGCTTTCTTTAATAGAAGAAACGATAAGAGTTATATGCCATGAGGGGAGCATAGCATAAAAAAATAATAATAAACAATATACAGGCTTTCAAAAAAAACTACTCATAACATTTTGATCATATTTTCTAATAACAATTTATCATCGGTAGTGTTATAATATATTGGATGTATCTTCAAATACGGATCATCCTTAAAGAATTTCATATCTAACATCATTCTTTGAATCCACATCAACATCATTAGAATTTAAGTAGATCTATACATTCTTTTTAGTTATTCTATGGAAAATATATAAGGATAAAAAAGAACAAAAACAATCTAAAGATCTGATAATTTTTTACGCAAAGAATATTTATGTTATTTATATCAAAATTATAACCATCGATACAGAATTTCCTATTATTGAACTCAACGATCATTATCTTTCAATATTTGTTATTTGTGAATTTAGGAACATAATCGAGAGCAATTATATTATAGATACCATTAAGGATGTTAAATTGCGATATTCACGTCATTAGTTTTATTTAGTTTTTAGTCCTTACAATACAGTGAAAAGTTAATAATTTTTAAAAGTTGTTTAATATTTATAGAAAAAATATTTCTCTGGAAAAAAGGCACGATTCCAATTCCCTAGGCACGTCCATTTAGTAGTCAGTTTTTTTAACTACTCGTTTTACTACTCTATATATTAACACAGCTTGTGAATTTCACACCTATTATGCACTAATAGCAGACAAAAGGATTCTAAAACGGTTAATGACATTAACTTTTAAATTAAGCTATTTTTGAGATTTATAGATGTTTTTCACAATTATTTTAATAGGTTATTAACGATATGTACCATAGTCGGCGTTTGAAACCGGTATAACACTAATTTAATGCATTCAATTAGCTGATGTATGAAATATACGAGCATTAAAACTTTCAGAGGAACCACAATTATCTCATTTGAAATAATTATCCTATATTATTTGTCAGCTTTAAAATTTCAAGATGCAGTTTACTGCATTTAAATATTTTTTACTTTAAAAGATAGAAATAGATATTAATAGTAGGTTGGTTCTCAAAAGACCGAATCACTGTGAATATGATATATATTTTTGGCAAGAACTGAGCTGCCGGTTTAGCTTTTTATTTTGTTCCAGATCAAAGCCAGATATACACAAAGAATTTGAATAGAAGTCTTAACTGCATTCAAGCGGAGTCGACATTTTCTCATTTCAGACATTCCCACTTTATTGAAATAATAACACAGGGCATAGTGACTCATCAGACAAGCTATAAGTGTAAAGAATTCCTTTGTTTAAAAAGTTTCTTATCAATCATATTTGTATCGTTGCATTTATACACGTATCGTGTATATTAACTTTGCAAATCAATTTGTCCAGGCCTCCACTTTTTCACCGCATTTCTTGATGTCTGCCCTATTTATTATCCTAGTTTTTACTTAATAAATAGGACATACACAAAAAACTACGCTGAAATAGTGGTCTGGACGCAGATCGGAAATGAAGAGTAAGGCTTGCAACGCCAATATAACAGACTCTTCCCGAAGTAATGCTAGAACGGTTCCGGGGAGGTATATGTATCGCTGTATTCTATATTTGACGCTGATAGGGAGTGAGTCACACCTTTCCGACGATGGTTGGTTTGACGGTGCATCAAGCATTCCACCTTATCACCCTAAAAAAAAAACTTCCTAGCTGTGTGATAAAAAGTGACCGTTGCCAGAACAATATATTAAATTTAATTAATTTTACAATGGTAATTAGTATTACCATTGTAATTAAAAATGGTAATTAGTATAAAAATTGAACTATTCAGTTTGCAATTTATACATTTTAAATTATTTATTTGAATGAATGAAAAGGATCACTCTTAAGAACCTAAGTGGATCCATCTTTATAGATAGTTAAAAAATTTAGATAGCCACACTTTATTTACAGCATTTAATATTGTTAGAATTGATGTTTCACTACTCCACCCTAGTACGGTGAATGCAAGAAAAGTCCATCACACTTAAAAGTAATTTGAAATCAAAAAACTAACTGTATCTTCGAAAACTCTTAGATAAAAGAAGAAAGTAATTTATTATTGGTACATATAAGTTAAATCTTTATACAGAATCATTAAGAAATCAGATATTTCTCATATTGAAATCAAACAAGTAGATCAACATTATTAATTTTAATTGAAGCGTTCATGATACTGCCTATCTTCATCGATAAAGGTCGTTGTATTTAATATGCGAATCCTTCTTCGCACATGTCATTGCTTTGTAAAGTCACTTAAACAATCGCAATAACGTGCTGAAAGTGCTCACAAACTATTTTTGGGGTACAGATTAAGAAAAATTGTTACATACAAAACAATTAGGGAGATATGTTGGTGTCATGTATCTTCAGACTGGTCCCACAGCGCTGCTATTGCAAGTCTGAAGTACACCATCTTCAAACGGAATTAAAATGGTTAAAAAATAAAAGTAGTTAAACTTCAAATAACTCCTTTTGTTGGTGTGCCGCACGTAATTCCGTCAATTCGTTTCATCGTATCATGACTACATTCAGACCTACAACAACGGCGATATCAGTGAACTTGTGAACGTATAAAGTTTGCGTTATAGGTATTAAGACAATTGACTCTACTTTATTAAGGTGTTGAAATTCCTTTACTAGGAAGGAATTATTAGAAACGAGAGTATTCTTAGGAACTTAATATAAGTAAAAACTAAATTGATGAGCTACTAATAAAATTAAGTATTAAAATTCTAAATAAATTCCAGAATATATAGCCGTACCTCAGGCTATATACTATAATAAGATATTTACTATAAATATCTTATTATAATTTTTCTTTTGCAAGTCTTAAGCTTGTAGTTCATAGAGGTTTTTGCAGCAGATTTTTATAAAAAAGATCTATTTTTTTAGAGCATAGAGTCCTAAATCATATAAATATCTTATATATAGATATTTCTTTAGCAATCATATCAAAACTCTAGCTCGACAAGACTAATATTTGTGGTGTGCCCTGAATTAATAATGAAGTTAGGTCAATTAATTTATTTTGAGTAACTCTTACTATTACGCATATGGCAAAATACAAAATCGAATCCAACGCTTTTACTAGTTGTTCTTGATTTTCATATGAACAATTTCTACATTAAACCTTAATATTTGAAGAACGAAAGTATATAAACACATAAGGTAGCGAAAAAAGTTGGTTGGAATAGGCGACTTTTAAAATCCGTAGCCAAATTGGTGCGTTCCAGAAACAGGAATTGTACTCCAAGTTCTAATAGTAAAAAGTTAAATGATGAAATGATAAAATTCAACGAAAGGAAAGATTTCAATATGCAAACATCTATCAAAAAAGCAAAAGAATATCAACAACAAATTCAAGATCATATTTGTATATTTTTACTCAACGAAAGGAAAGTTTTGAATGTGTGAACACCTATCAAAACAGCAACAACAATAATCACAAAACCATATTCGTATATTTTTAAACAAAATTGATGTTTCAAAAATTGTTCAAAAATTATTTATGTAATATCGTAGTGATTGTCGATGAATATTGTTTCGCAAGTTGCATATCATATCATTTATCATTTTGGAGAAAATTTTAAATTAAATTAACCTTTCTAAGAAATACAAATTTTAAATTTTTAAATGAAATAGTTTTTTTCGTTTGAAGGATTCGACTAGCAAAGAAAAGACAGAACAGAAATTTAGTTAATTTATTGAAATTTGGCTGACCATACAACGTTGTTTCGAGTTTTGACAAGTACTCATCATGTAGGGTCTTAGGACCACTGATTTATTTTTTCCAAATAAATACAAAATATGTTATAGACCCAACCAAACATATGGTGTATATAATATTTCGCAAAATGTGTGTAGCAGTAGAGTTAAACGAAATTGAATAATATTTTGTTTTTAGTAACAAATATTTGTACTCACCTGTTTATTATTTATATCAAGTATAAAATTAAAATACACCACACTACGCTAATGTTTTCATTATTTGTGCTACTTTGAAGTCTTTTTAGCTTATTGTTGAATATTTACTACAGGATTTGTAATTAATTAAGCTGCATCTAACACTGAATCATTGAAATGTCCTTTGGAACCTCTAAACAGCTTTACTCTTATAATTAATTTCAATGATCAATTTATTTTTAAAAAAAATTATACTCTTCAGTACGAAATTTATAATTATAAACTTATTTGTTGTCAGTATTATATATCTAAATATGCTTTTAATTTCAATTATGTTAAATTCAAAGGGTTTAGGAACAATCGCAACTACAAAAAAAAAAAAAATAAAAATTATAATTTATATATACAAGGAGTATAATTAATATATATGCTTTATAATACATACTAGATATAGCAGATATTGTATTTGACGTCAGGGTCACTTGTTATATCGTAACAACTAAAATTCAAGTTCAACAGCAACAATTGTAATAAATTTGTCAGCAACAAAATAGCTGTAATCTTAGTAGCTAGCAGTGGCAACAGATCGGAACTGCATCTAAGCGATTTAGTTTAATAAGTTAGCGTGAGTGTACTGCGAGAATTTCCATTGCGTTATAATATGCAACCATTGTAATATAATATATGAAAAAAATTATAAGTCATCATCGTAAAACGTACGACAGCAGCAGTCGAAACAATAACGTGTAATATATGCCGCACGAAAATGGTTAAAACAACTCCATAATTTATAAAATTTTGTTGTTAATTTGAAAGCAAAAGCAAAACACTTTGGCTTAATATCAGCAACAATGTAGAACTGTGTACAATGTGTGCTGTAGTTGCACCACCCCACTTTCAAACATGTCTCCTTTTAAAACATAAACACGCATGCACTTTACTGGTTCTTATTGATCGGCATGTAGTTGACAAATATGGCATGACAGTAACACTAGGAAATCTCGATAATAATGACTATGATTCATCATAAAAAATTGACTAAGATATCAATATTATATATTTTAATAAAAGCAGTGTGTGTTTACTCATAGTTTAACAATTAATTTTTTTACAATTTCAGCCCGAGTACTACAAGGACGCTCCACATTTCCGACGCGTAGGAGACGGTCCTGAATACAGACTAGAAATACCAAGCGCTAAATTAGATTTTACAGGCACTTATTCAGTTATTGCCACCAATTGTCATGGAGAAGTAAAAGCTGTAATTTCATTGCAAATCTATGCTAAAGGTAAATAGTTTTTGCATTAGTAATATTTTGTTCCAAATTGAACCTTTATTAGAATTATTATTACTTTAAATATGTATTAATCAGGTAAATTGTAAACCTTCACAAGCCGAGGAAATACGACATCCTTCCAAAAATCTTCCACGGCACCCAACAAACCAGCTACAAATTCCATATCAGCTTGTACCCAAACATAATGCAAAGCACCAGTTGTATCAAATGTTGGACTGAGGACACAATAGAGTGCTTTTGTGACATTAGCCATATACATTTGTATTTGAATTTGTGCCATATATTTTGGTGCAATTGTTTCTCTTTTTTCAAGATATTTTTCAAATTCTTCTTCAGTCTTAGGCGCTTTAATTTCTACGATATGATCATCTGTTATGCCATCGGGTGAAGCAGATATGTATGGATAATTTTCACTTAATATGAGACCACAATCTTCATAGGTTTTGTTTTCAAGTTTTTCAGTCTGCTTTAATATAAAGCGTTTATGTTGTTTTAATTGTTGACGTTCTTCACAATTTGTTTCACGATCTTTACAAAAAAGCATTTCCATAATACGATCATCATCAGCGCTGCTTTTACGTGTAACAATTCTATGAATTAATGAGCAGCGAAGTCGCATATATTGAGATTCTAGCCATAAGTGTGATTTGTAACTTGTTCTTGTAGCTTCGTTTAATCGCTCAAATAAACCCTTTTTTGCAACCTCTTCCATATGCACAAGAAAGCTGGTTACGTCTTTAACTTTGTTAGAATTAGAATCTAGCAATGTATGATGCACAAATAATGGTTCAAATTCGTTATGATCTGGCCTACAATGACTGTAGAACAATGAACTATCTAATCCCTGATTAAACATACTATCCAATACAGCATTTAAGAATGCATTTCCTTCTCCATCGGTCACAGCAGATACTTCCATATCGGCCTCAATACGCAAATCATCACAACCAACTTCATCACGAATACGGACAGCCTCACTTCGTCCACTTTCTACTAATAATTCTGCTTCAGTACCCCAAAAGTTGCGTATAGCAGGTGTATCAGTATCTGTACTCTTACGATACAGCCAAAAGATAAACGCCATTATGTGACTGCATGAATCTGATAAGTTTTATTAGTTTCTTATTAGTTTTTCAAATAAAATACATATGTATATATGTACACAATATAAGTACCTTTTTTTGGACATTGTTCACATTCGGCTGAAAAAATTTCTTCTTTTCGTAAATTCACCTTGATAGTAACATTTGCCTGTTTACTAACAATTCTTTTATCTTTATTAAATGCAATGGCACGTGCCTCACATACATCTCCAGTTGTACGGACTTGTACATAGTCAATAAGCAAATCATCGTTTTGTGCAAACCTTTAAATATAAAAAAAAATTTATATATATTTTCAATATTCATACAAGTATATACTTACATAGGCGCTCCGCTGACCGGTTGCTTATTTTTAGCTGCCGTTTTCGTTACAAAACTACAAACCATACCGCTGTGAATAACTGGTATATTGTTAGCATCTCCTTTACGAAAACCGTTTTCTAGTTTAACACGTATTACAATCATTGTAATTAAAATAAATTCGAAAATGAAATTTGTTTTATATTATATTTTGTGCACAAATATAACACAGACAAGCTATCAATTCTTGTGTCAAAGATTATGTTGGCACTACTGCTTACGTCAGTTGTCACTAAAAATAAAACTGAAAATAGTGATGCCAAGTCGAATAATATTATTTTAAAAATAAAATTTTATTTATTATTATAATATTAGTAATATAAAAAGTATAAATAAAAAAAAAATACAAAGATCATTTCTTAAATATATAATATACTACTGTGGCTTTAGTAATTATTTTTATGAGTATTTTTCACTAATTTAATGTTATTACTTGATTATGAATTTCAAATTACTTATAAGCTTATAAGTAATTTAAAGTAATTATTTGAGTTATGAATTTATTTTAAAATTTCGACAAAATAGTTGCGTTGTGTTATTGCGTTTTAGGTGTATTTTTTTTTTACTGTTTCTTTTATTTCGTCATTTGTTCTACTTTTTAAGTTTTTACTATTAAAAATACCGAAATCCAATTTAAAGTATTATAATATAGATATATAGCTATCAATTTTATATACAATTTTAATTCACTGTTCACTGTGCTAGTTTCGATAAAATAAATTTTTTTTTGTATGCTCAATTTATACAAGAATATTATTATTAAGAAAGTTGTAACGTAATTGTTAACTATACATCTAAATTAAATTGTAGAAGTTATAGCTATTATATGGCCTTAATACTATGTTTAGAGACATTTAATTTCCTTAAATTGGAACGGTATGAAAACTTTCGAAATTATCTTGATTTCATTTTTACGAAATTAAGGAAATTTGGCTGTCTGAAAATAATATAAGCTTATCAATTGTACAAGTATATTAAACATGCCAATTTATATGAAACAAGTCAGAAACGATATTTAACATACTTTTAGGCTGCGGTTACACTGCATGTGCAAATTGTGTTGTGTATGTTTTTTCTTGCGAACACTTCTCATGTTGCGGGTACATTGGTTGCGAATTCATATTTCTGCTTTGTTTGTTTTGAAAACAACATAGAATTTAATAACAACCGTTATTATATTATTTATTAATTTCAAATAACAAAACATGAATTTGGTACACATTTGGTGATTTTTATTTATCAAGATATACAAATTGAGAATTTACCCGTTCCTCAACTAACGAAATTAACAAATCGCAAACTATTATATTATTAATTATAATTAATAATATAATAATTAAATATAAGAAGTAGTTCCAAGACCACTGATAATGGGCATTTGGCTATACTCGAAACAGTTATACGGTAAATTAAAAATTCAAATAATTAATATAATATAAACAAAAAATTTTTGTAGTTGTAGTTTATTACTTTTCGAAATCTCTCTACCAAATACAATAGTTTCTATTAAGTAACATAGAAACGCTAAATTACTATTAAAATAAAAGTAAAATTAAATGAAAAAAATAGACACCTGCCAATTTCATTATTTCCACCTTCGATTTCGCGCGAACGAATAAATTTGAATCAAAATATTTTGTTTAATCAAATGTTTGTATGAGAAAGACAACACGTCGCGGGAATAATTCTCAGTAACTTTAACCACTCACATATGTATGTATTTTTATTTTTAATTTTTGAGTTCTTCGATTGAAACAATTATAAAGTCGGTTTTTTCTTTTAAGAATTTTAACTTTTATTTCGATTGATATTTTTAGTATATTTTTATACGTATTTTGGTAAATTAACTTTTGTCTTCATCAGGAATTCCTAATATTGTATTAGGAATATTGTATTGTATTGTAATAATATTAGGAATTCTTCCGATGAAGACAAGAGTGAATTTGTCAAAATACATATAGAAATATATTAAAAATAACGATCGAAATGAAAGTTAAAATTCTTAAAAAAACACTGACATATGATTACGATTGATTTGTTCGTACGAACACGTAAGAAAATAAATAACTGCAATTGCTTTCAAAAAATGTAAACGTGCTGTTTCCAAGAAAATTTAATTTATTTTGGCGCTTAAAACGAGTCGTTATTAAAACCGAAGTAAACTTGTGTTTAGGATTTCCAAAAGGTAATAATTATTAAAATTTAAAAGTGAGTTGTATCTTATATTATACATTGATAGATACGATGGAAAGCAAAAATAAGAATATTGAAAACAACACAAATGTTGAATCTTACAATCAACAAAATACTGCCTTAAATGTTCGGTTGCCACACCTGTCACCAAGTGCTCAATTGGTGTTTTTAGATCATGGTTATTCTGCCATTTCTAACTCTAGAACAAACCCCACGATTTTGGCAAATGATCCTCAAGTGTTCAATTCTCAAGTGCGCCTTAGTCCTACGAGTGCACATGGAAAAAGAGCATACGCGTTGATGTCTGGTACTAGTCTAGAAAAACAAATGGAAGACTTAACTATTGAACCTAAAAAAGATACTCAGGACACTAGTTTCGGTATTGCTAGAGATAAATAATCTCATATTACACCTTTTGAAGCTAGAAACTTCAATTATGTTTTGAAAATTATTAGGATAAGATTGTAAATAAAATAAAAAGGAAACGTTAAACTCTTCAATATAAACTTCGATGATGTTTTATGTGCGTAGAAATGAAGTCGTTTATATTATGTTGAATAAGGAGCATTCCTGAAAAATATATGTCACATGCTATTTAAGTAATAAAATATTATATAAGTATTTTTGTTCATAAAGAGAAATTTTATTTTATTAATGACAATATAATTCATTTATTTGTTTAAAATTATTTACACATTTTAGGTTATGTTATGATTTATGGATATTTCAGACTGAAACCACTTTTTGTTAAACTTAGGAGATTACCATACAATGGTATATTTTTGGCTAATATGTCTTGATATGTGGCTGATTTGTTTGCTATTTTATGCTTCTGCACTTGTTATTTTTCTAAAAAGACGTTTAAAGTACGGGACTGGCATGACCACTCCGGATATTACATATTGGGTTATCCATAAGAATATTGCAGGGTATGGCCAGTTCTACAATTTATAATAATACTCGAACATGGTCGTACCAACTAAATTGATGAAGACTGTTCGAGCCATAAAGTGTATGATGTTGATAATTATAAAAATCAGTGAATCCCCAGTAAGATTATTTTTTATATAGGTTGACTAAATTGTGGAAATATTGTTTGTAGATGTAATAAGGCAAACGAATTGTGTTGGGTGTCGTGTTTGCAGGTCTTGAAAAAAAGAAAACGTAATCGCTAAACATACCAAAGCTCATTTTTAAATCGTGGATCCACTATAACATTCTGGAGCTTAAAGTATGGTAAAAACAGAGGATATAAAAATTGGAAAATACTTGAAATAAATCAAAGGCAGCTAGGAAGTTGATTACTGATTTTTAGTATATAAAAGACATATTACCAATATATGTACAATCCGTATATGTGTGATGTATCTGTGATATTTTATGCAATATTACTGGATGAATTAAATATAGTAATACCGTAAAACGCTTCTACTTACAAAGACACCGAGTAGAGTATTCCCAAGACAATGCACCAATTCATATCGTAGTCGTCGTGGCTTAAACTCACAAATTATGATCCAAATTATTGATCATTCCCTTATGCAGGAAGAGTACCCAGGATATCACTATATTCAAAGTGATATTAGAAGTGATGTGATAAAGTTTCCACGAACACAAATATAAAAATTAATGATAAATTAATTGGAGGAATATGAATATAATAATATATTAGGATAGGCAGGCATGAGGCATTGTTCATAATCTTAAACATTTGGTATAACTGCCGACTAAAATTCAGTTTCCCTAATCTTTATAAAAGCGTTTGAAATCCGTTACCCGAGTGTTATATTAGCTTCTAAAAATATTCAGTTTATTTAATTACTTATCAGCCTAATTTTTTAATTTCAGTTACAATTTATTATGTAATTTGAATCTTTCAGCTAAATTTTTTACTTTTTTAAAGTTGACTAAAATTTTTTTTTTTGAAATTTCAGATATCCTAAGGCAAAAAATGGAGAAAGGATCCATAAGACATGGGTAAGACATTAAAAATTCAAAATTTTTTATTATAAATTTAAGTGTGAAATTAACAATATTATTTAAATATTTAAATACTCCATAGAAATGTTGAAACCCTTCCACACTTCATAAGGCATTTACGTAACTTACGCTGTTGTGATGGTGACTCTATAACTTTAGAATGTCATGTGGAGGGATTACCAGAACCATATATTATTTGGGAAAAAGATGGTCGAGTATTGCCCAGTGATAAAGAGTTTTCGATGTCCTATGATGGTATAAAAGCAACTCTAAGCATACCTCGCGTTTACCCTGAAGACGAAGGAGAATTCACATGTGTTGCGAAAAATAACTTAGGTCGTACGCTTTCCTCAGCTTGTATTATAGTCGATGTACCAGAGGAAAAAGAAAATATGTTAAACAGACAATTATCCCGGCCAACTGGTTTGCTTTCAGCAAGCTCTACGCCAATTTCAACTCCACGTTCCACACCAAATAGAAGCTTTTCACCTATGAGGCTTTCATATCGCAACTCAAGCATTGATATTGGTAGCAGTGAACAAAGACGCTATACTGCACAACAGCAGACAATTTCAGCTCCTAAATTTTTAGCTATACCACATAGTCGAGTTGTAGAAGAAGGTGATAGTGTACGATTTCAATGTGCCATTGCCGGTCATCCAACTCCATGGTCTACATGGGACAAGGATGGTATGATCGTAATACCAACCACACGTATATCTGTGAAAGAAATAGATGATCTACGTTTCTTAGAAATCGATGAGGTGACATTTGATGATGCTGGCTTATATCGTATAACTTTAGAAAATGATTATGGTCGAATAGAAGCTACGGCACGATTGGATGTTATTTGCAGTAGGCGCTATTCAAAATCACCTTCTTCACGTAGTGTAAGAGCTTCGTCTTCACGACGAAATGCTTATATACGCCGTCGAATAATGGGACCATCCACTGCAATTGGTGGGCGCATGGCACTCGCTGCAGGTTTTAGAGGTTCTTCAGTTCCAGCATGTAAATTTTATCATAATGATTCTGAGCTTTTGGAGTCTAATAGAGTTCATATCGAGGTTTTCTCAAATGAAGCAGTTCTTTTTATTGACAATTGCACATATGATGATAGTGGTACATATACATGTATTATTGAAGGCGACCATGAACCAATAACAACTACAGTTAATGTCATTATTCATGACCAAAAATTAATAAAATCGTTTTTACCTAAAGAATCGCGTATTACAAAACATTTGCCGGAAGAAACGCAATCAGTTGAAAGAGAAACTATTGATCTTAGTTTTGAGTTTGATTGCAGTCTACCATATAGTTATGTTTGGACTCGTAATGGAGATGTCATAAATGATAGTGATGATTTCAAGTAAGTACAAAAAATGTTATGGTAAATTTTAGTATCAAATAATATTTTATTGTGCTGGTTTCATATGCAAATATATTGAAATATTTTGAAATTGGAGTTATAAAAATTATTTTAAAAAAAAGTAATTTGTTTTATACTTGTTTTGTTAAAGTAAGTTTTATGAAATTTGTTGATTGTCTGTCCATTGCATTAAAAAATTTCTCAACATTTATTGCCTTATATATTTATTTCCTTTTTTTTAAAATTGTTGTAAAGTTCCACAATGGGAATTTTATCACTTAATGCACTTGAATTATTGTTTTTACCAAATAGGACCAGTACATAAACAAATTGCAAGATTGAGTGAGAAAGACAGAAGAGAGTAAGATAGAAAAGGAGTAAAAGAGAGAGTGCAACAGTGAGTATGATAGAGAGTATGACAGGGAGAGACAGAGAGAGAGAGAGAGAGAATGAGAGAGTGAAATAGAGAGACTCTGGGAGAGAGTGAGAGACAGAAAGTTAGAGGGAGAAAGTGAGTGACAGAGAAGGAAAGAGAGAGAGAAAGAGTGGGAGAAAAAGAGAAAGTGGTAGAAAGAGGGAGGAAGAAGACGTAAAAACAGAGAAATGAAGAAAAAAAATAAAAATAAATTAAAAAAAAATTTAAAAAAATTAAAAAAAATTATTAGTTATTAAAGAAAAAAGTATGATAAAAGGTCAAGATTAATAAAAAATTAATCAAAAAAATTTAAAAATATTTTAGAGATTGCTACACAGTTGTAAGAATATTTCTGATCTGTATTATATTGATAGAAATAGTACATATATTTTTTCTATGCGTATAAATAAAGACAAAAATTCGCAATTAATCAATCAAAAAATTATTTTTAAAATTCTAAAAATATGCCATAGACATTGCTATATAGATCTAAGAATGATTCTGATCTATAGTACAGAAAAGTATATATATTTTTTCTATGCATTTTAGTTATATTGATCATGGCAATGGTATACTATGTTTACGTATTCATGATGCATTCGATCTGGACTCTGGAATTTATGCTTGCAAAATAACAACAATTGATGGTTATAGTTGCTGCACTTCTGGTCAATTAACAGTATTTGAAAGCGTTGCTGATGACACTCCAATATTACTTAAAACCCCACTCCCTGCAATAGCATACCTGGGCTCTAAGGCTTCGTTCTGTGCTAAAATACATTCGAGCGGTAAACAAAGACTACCTGTTGAAGCAAACTGGTACGTTTGTGGACGTAAAGTTACTGTGGCTGACTCACCTGAACTTACGGTAAGCAAATAAGTGTGTCACTTGTTGTTTTTGTTGTATAAAAATTCGTATCAATATTGTGGTTAGCGAGAGATACGTAATTTTTATACGCTAAGTTAAGTAAAGTATTACGAAAAATTGTACAGGGTGTTTATCGAGTTATCTATATAAGTAATTTGTTAACATTTAAAAAAAGAGAACGATTCCAATACATGATTCATACATTGAAGCAAGACATTCATTGATTAATTGATTTAATTTAATTAACTACATCATATATGTAATGTATAGAGAATGATGGACCCTGTAAAAAATTTCACTTTTTATTTTGGTATATCTTACACTTTTAATTTTATTGTTGGTTATTAACAAAAAAACCACACAAACAAAAATTGTGAAAAGATGACGCTAAGTACTCAGTGACCCTGTTGTGTCGCAGAGGTATTCATATGCAAATTTTTACGGCAATTTGTCTTACCCACAATTTTTGTTTTAATAACGCACGCGACAGTAGTACAAATTCCAAAAATATCTTTTAAATTTTACACGCACTTGCATGGGACTGTAATACCCCCTAATTGGATGGTTTTTTCTCTAATAACATGAGACGAGATTATGATAAATATTCAAAATATTTAATTGAAAAAGAGAATGATTCGAAAAGGTTTAGAAGAATTCATTAAATAATAGTTACAACGCTCATATATATCTGTAATCTTTATTATAAAAAAAGTTATTACTTCTACGTGTAGACTTAGATAAGGTTATGATATAAAAATATTTTCAGATTTTTTAAATTAATTTTTAATTTATTTAATCACATATGATTATTTAACTATTATCTCCATTTTTTGTACAAATCCGCTAATTCCATTTATTGAAGAATAGTTTATTATAATATAAGATTAGATAAATATGAGTATATTCATTGCGCACACATTCTACATTATAATATTAAAGAAATTTGAAACTTTGAAAAATCAAATCATTTAAAATAATTTTGGTTTAAGTCTGAGAGAAGATATTTCTATTATCGCAAAGATATCACAGTGGCATAAAATCTTGTCATTACCACTGAAAATGTTGAGTTCAACATTTGTACAACCACTTCACTACAGTTTACGATAGTTGATATTGTCGAAAGTTGATGGATGCATTGAAACGAAGAATCTAGACAAACCATAAGTATGGATTTTAAAACGTATACGTTCGAATAAGTGGATAAATCACAAGTACTTATTTGCAATTAAAAACTCTATTGCGTAATATTTTTGTAATATTTTTGACTTCTGATACGAATATAAGTTTTCTAGTATTATCTAAAATTTGTTCTTAAATTGAGTACTCTCTTAATTTGTTTTTTGAGAGTACCCAAGAGACTAAATTGCATATTTGACGGGTATTCAAGATCCGTTATAAAAAAAATCGATTTTAATTCAGAGCACTCATCTCTAATAAAATAGGTAGAATTCATTACCAATTTTATTCGCACATTATCTGAGAAGGCATGCTATATATTTTCATCCGCATTACAGAGTTTAGTAAAAGACGCCTAAACCTGTAAAAAAAAATATTTTAATAATATAATATAATTTTTTAAAGTTTGTTCTTAAAATACTTGTATTTTTGGTACTTAAGATATTTTTAATTTTGTTGACTTTATTTATTTTTGTTTATTAACACAATTATTTATAAAAATTTATAAATTATATAAAGTAATCACAAAGTAAGTCATCCTATAAATAAAATTGAATCGGTTTAATACAACAATCAAAGTACCATCTAATATGATTTATTCTGAGGTGTTGTACTGAAGGTAATCATCTATTAATTTAAGCAATTCATATTTGCTTGAAGTTTATAAGCCAAATTTTTAAATTAGCTCTTCTGACAAAGAAAAAAGAACTAATATTATAAATAGGATTTATATTTATTTTGTAAAACAAAAAAAATTATTCCACTATGTTTGTCATTTACTCCAAATTATATAGTGCCACCCCCACTTTTAACAATTTAGTCAGAACTGATCAAGTCAGAACTGACCTCAGCATATAACTCAGAGGCAGTTATTGTTGCTAAATTTAATATCATGTTTCTACTAAAGCTAAAACTACTTATGTTAACGAAACTAAAATTTTGTCGTTTCCATCGGTATAAGCTGATTTATGCTTGTGATATAGCTTATTTGTTTACATTTTAAATGTAAAACATATCACAAATATTTCAAAATTTTTTAATATAACTTGTGGGAAATTTATTTTTATGTGTTGTATTCGACATTTTTCCCCTTAAATCATTTGATTTATTTATAATGAATTTATTTATATGAAAACCCTTCTTAATAAGCAAAACTAAGTAAATGAGACAGTGTAAACATGTTAAGAGAGGTAATTATCGACATATATTACAACATTTGCTTATGAAACTTGTGTGAATTTTATATGTAAAATTGTTTTTATTGCTGTACATTTGTCGAATTAATTGCGATAGAGTAAAGGTTCTGTTAGCTGTGTATTAGTTTTTCTTTTGTGTGGGTAGTAAAATAATTTTCGATTCATTTTTGTATTTCTCTTGTTTTCTCTTGTTTTTAATGAACATTAAAAACATTAATGAAATATAAATAAATTTATACTTTTCTAGTTATTTTAAAAATTTAAGGTACTTCTAAATTGTTCAAAGATCACATTCTACTGTTTCGTCTCACAGTTTTTGATTTAAGGACAGGATAAAACCAATGGACTCAGTCAACTATTTTGCCACTAATGCTCATTGGGTGCTTGTCTTACACTCTACCTAAAAGTTTTTATATAATTTGTTTCTGTTGACATAAATGCATTCTTAGCCCACTGTGCACGCACGTATTTATTCAAAAAAATTCTCACGAATTTAAGTGACGATTTTAAAGATCGATTTAATTTAAAGCTGCCAGTGTTCATATATCTGGCCACCTTCGACTCTTTTAGTTTTATTTGAATACTTCAACGGCACTGTAGTGTACTGTTAACTAATGCCCGAGCAATGTTACAGGTATTTGTCTTGTTATTATCAGTGTAACAGATCCATTTACTAATCCGATACGTTGTAATGCATGTTAATTTGAACGTGATTGAACCTCTACAAAAATGGTATTATAATTGATGTGATTTTGCGGCATATTTACAAACTTCATGTACTTCATGTACATTTTTGTCTATTATTTTTTTTTTGCATAGATAATATCGTGTTTGTTATCAGTGGAATGATAGTGAACAGTGGGGTGCTGGATTTCTGGCGGCTCATGGGTAATAATGTGTGCGTAACAAGTGATAAAATGTTTTAAGAAGACGCTTCGAAAACACTTCAAGTGTTCATAATTTGATTTGTTTCCCTACAGTTATTTGTCGATCGATTAAATGAAGCTCAACCTAATCGCTTAGGTTTGATATTTGTTTTGAAATTAGTGCATTGCGCGGAACGTACGCTCCCCGTTTTCTGTCTGTGCATTGTTGCTCTACGGGCTTCTACGGTAGTCGTTTATATATGCCAGCACCGCACTGTTCTACATTATTTACTGATGATCAGCGATTTTTAATGAACTTGCTTTCTTCGTCGTTATCGTCATTATTAATGTTAGTAGTGCGCCAATTGCTTCCAAGTCGTGAGCTCACAAAAATTCTTTCCTAATTTGTAGTGCGCGAATCTGTCGTACGTTTTGAGTTGAAATATATGGGTGTTATTGTTTTTTTTTTTTTTGTTTTGTTGAGAATAGCCATATAAATTAATTTTAAATTAAATTTTTTAAAAAATTATTAATGTTGATATAAATGTATAAGAAAAAAGTATCTCTTTGCATTAAATATCTGAGAAAAAATAATGTTTTCGCCTTGAGAGCGCACAGATGTTTTCGGCATTTCTTTTTTGTTTTGTTGCTTTTTTTATTTGTTTATTTTTTTGTGTTTTTTATATAAAAAATGTGTGAATAATATTTTAAAATAAAATTTGCATAAATTAATTTCTGTTTATTATTCCGTGTTTAGTTTGAGTCTTCCGCCGCAAACGGTTTACATGTGCTTCATATAAATAACGCCAAACATACCCAAAGTGGCGAGGTACAATTCAGCGTCTCATATCCTGGCAAACCAACACACATACGCACCTATACGAGTCTTGTAGTGCTACCAACTGCAGCTGCCACAAATGACTCTTCAACGGTGGAACATATAGAATCAACAATTTTGCCAAACGTTGAATTGGAACCAACAGATTTTCCACCTTATATATTGTTGGGGCCAGAAGATTGTACGGCACTTATAGGTGGCAGCGTTAAACTCAGCATATCATTTGAGTCGAGACCAAAGGCACAAATAAAATGGTTCAAAGCGGTAAGTACGACATAGTGATCTATAGTTGTATGCTTAATATGATATAATACATTATAGTGAGTAAAAATGTTACACATTTCTAATCAAGTTACTTTTAAAACTATTATTTTGATATTGTTTTTGGGTACTTGCTAGTAATTTCGCTAAAAATTGATTAAAAAGTGTAGACTTAAAAAAGATACTATATCCAAAAAAAGCAGAAAATCTTTTAAGGAAGCAGAAAAATCTTCTAAAAATAAGTAAATAATTTTAAACAATAAAATTCATGCAAACATTTAATCGAGAGATAGTCGAATAGGTTCAAAGATGTTAATTTGATAAAAATTTCTTCTAATGCTATGTTTACTAAGTGGCGAAGATACCTAGCTTTAAGACTTTTTCATACTAAATTTACAATTTTCTTGAATTTCACGCTTTGAATCAACGTATACGGATGACGATACGTAAAATGTATTCATAACACTATTCAAAAACAAACTCTTCTTGTAAGTAAATATGATTATGACTAAAATTACTTGCACTATTCAAACAAAATTCTATCAGTAACTCTCCATATAACACGATGAGACCCTATTTAGTTGTTTGGAACATCATGGGAACATCATTTACAAAGTGTGTTAAAGTAATCAAAACTTTTTCAAATAGATGTTTGTTGTTATTGTAAACAGCTGGGGCCCAATCCGCAGCATCGTTAATGTAAATACTGCCCTGACATTTATTCGAATAAATAAAGGAAGTAGTAAGTGTGTTTTATTTTAAACTTGTTATAACTCTAACGGAAATATTTTAATTGATAAACCACACACACACATACTCATCAATTTGAGTCCAATCGATCTTTCGCGCCGTCTCTTTGAATTCGTTAGGTGCCTTCACCTTCACAAAGGTCCGCTCTTATTCCGAAAGAATTCAACTCTCTTTCATATTTTCTTTACTCAACATATCCTCATTTATGTATTCATATTTGTAATTCTTTACATGTTATCTTGCATATAGATCTCCACGGGCTAGAACTAGAACAACAATAATCATTGCTGAACAAATTTTATAGTGCTAATTATTTATTCCATAGCAAAGTTTATTAGAGATGTACATGATTTCGAAATGGTACTGACCACAGGTTATAAGCAACATTGAGTCCAATCGAAGTACACGATCAGTGCTGATCTTATTTAACTGACTATTGAGATGAACAAACTATTATACGTTGAAGTCTAGAAAATACAAAAATAACATTTTTGTTTCAGTAAAAATAATAATTATTTGTGCCTTTAATTTAGCAAATCATATTTTTCCTTCAGTAAAAATAATAATTATTTATGCCTTTAACTCGGTAAGAAAATATAATTTATACCATCATCAAAAAACGCTAATATTTCATACAACTATTTTACAAATAAAAAAATAAGATTTATAATGTTTACTTCTTGACAATAGGTGCATGTAGAGAAGTTTTGAATTGACATTTTCACGACCCGGTAAGATCAATAATCCACAGTATTCACCTCACCTCAGTATTCGTGCAACTTTTATATTTCTGAAAAAAAGACATTTGTCGATGAAACGATAGCATTTTTTATCCTGTACAAAGCCATTCCAGTACAAAGTATTTTTATTATCTCAAAAAATACTAACAAATCATTTAGTATATTAAACCTAAATTTTTTTTTGTTAATTTAACTAAAATATTATACAGCATTAGATACTTAACGACAATCATTGTCTAAAAATCTCCCTAATAATTTTAATTTGTAATGGTATAATATAAAGGCAAATGCATACAGGGTGATCAAATCAGCACTATATTTTTTTGCAATTTTTTTTACGCTCTCAATAGAATCAACATTTGCGTTAAGTATTGTTTAGCTACTCATATTGAAAGGATAGACTGTTTGTTAACGTATAGAAATTGTTAAAATTTATTCCAAAAATTATTAAACTATTCAGACTACGTTTATGTGTTATTTGAAATTTTTGTTCAACAACTCGACCTAGTATTCCTAATATAATTAAATATTTGGATTAAATTGCAATATATGTGATATTAAGAATCCAACCCGTCAAAAACACAAACGTACTATTAGGAATCTGATTAATATTATAATAATATTCTTAATACTATTAATATAATATATGTAATATAATATTATAAATCAAAGTGTGGATGAAAATGAGAAAGAATACACTTAGCGTTGTTATCAAGAATTTAGACTTTTTTATAACATAATAGTTTATAATGGTTATGATGGTTTATAAAGACTTGCATTACGGGGTTTATAAAATTTAGTTGATCTAAGAACTTGAATTAAAGACTACATTTGTTATGTGGAATTTTGCAGTTAGAGTTTTGGAGTACAGAATTATTGGTTCATAAAGAAAAATTAATAGTAATGAATCTCAGCATCTGATGAAGTGGATTAGTAGATAAACATAATTGCAACATTAGAAGTGAAGAAAAACCATAAATTGTTTCTGAAACACACCACAAAAATAACACTTCGTGATTTATGGTCTGGAAATGTAAGCGGACCCTATTTTCTGAGAAATAAAAATATTATTGCAGTTACCGATTACTAATTTTTTTGTGGCATGAATTAAACGATTTTTTCTGAAATATATAGTGTGGTTAACATTGTATACGTCTCGTGATATATTCAATTAATTAAAAAAAAAAGTTGATAATATATAGCTCTTATTTGATCACCCTTTATTTATTACAACATAACTCAGAACAGTTTCCAAATAGAGAATTGTTTCCTTTGCTTCCTCGAATTTAAATAACAAATTATATTTTTTTTATAGAAAAACCATGACTGAAACCTAAAAGTATTTTTACAAAATATTTTTTTTCGAACATGTTTGTATAAGCATTTTCAAAATTAAAAATATTTGAAATGTTTTAGTCAATAAAATACATTTGTTTTATTTAAGAAATAATTTTATTACACTAAACATTGTTTTTTTTTCGATCATATTCCAGACCATACCATACCATTGTATCTTTTTTGTGAAATGTAGAATTGTTACTTTTTTCAAAGTAGGATAGGGGTGTTCACAGTCATATTTGAATAGCTAATAACCTTATAGGTCAGAAAATAATTCTCAATTTTTGTATAATCATCAAAAATTATGAAAAAAAATTGTAGAAATCATAATAGTTTAGTCAATAAAACATTATTCCAAATATTATTCTAAACATTGTTTTTTTCGATCATATTCCATAACATACCATTATGCCATTATTCCAAAATACCGGATTTTTATTTTAATAAAAGTAAGATAGAATTTTTAAGAATCATTTGATTGAACAGATTTGAACACCTAATAATCTGATAGGTCAGAAAATATTTTTCAATTTTTGTCGGGTCATCAAAAATGCGTATAGCCTAGAGCTGGCAGAATGTTTTTTTTTTTTAATTTCCTGTTTGACCAAATCTGGTAGAGATTTGTGTTCTGACTTTAAGAATTAAATGCTATATAGATATTTTTGTTATAACAGCTTATGTTTTGTTGGTGATCGGTTTTCAAATATGATGTGTATAATATGCTAGGTTGTCTTTATTGCAAACCTAATTGGAATAAACATACTTATGAGAATCCAAATTTTGATCTATTTTTTGTGTTTTTTTTGTTGATGTGTCCTTTGACAAATTCTAATTGCCTTGTTTATTTTAGATTAAAAACTCGATTCAAAATTTCTATAATAGCACTCTAATAGAACTTACTGGTATTGTAGAGTGGAGAATAAAGTCGTAAAAAAATGCTAGAAGCTTGCCTGGCACTTATGCACAACCGAAAAAAATAACAATTTTTGCATCTTTATCTACTGAAGAAATAACACTCGGTAAAGTAGGGTCAATATTACAATTTATTGTTGCAGTTGAACTCAGAGAAATATTGGGTCTGTTCCACGAGTTACTCGTAGTAACTTTGAGTAACACTGTGTATACACAAGTACGTTCCACCAGCAAATTTTCGTGAAAATTTTACTTGCGTTTTACTTGAGTTTACCTATGAGTAGCTCGTGGAACAGGCCTATTTATTTTAATTCTATTAACGATTTAACATTAAATCTAAAGGTGCAATGTGAAACTTTACAACTTAATAATAATAACCTTGATGTACAAAATTCAAAATTATAGATTCTATCGTCTTTAAATAGTTTCGTCAATTAATACGCCAAGAATGTATAAGCTACGGACCCCTAATACTTAAAACATTAATATTTATTCAAATTTGTGACTATACATAATGATATATACACAATACAGTTTTATATTCTAGTCGTTGCCTTATTAGTTAACGAATTATCCGCCGTCAAATATTTGCATACCTTTTAAGGGAACTTTGCATAATAAAAATATGAAAATTTATTTTGTAAAAACAAATCATTGCGTCACAATTTGGCGTCAAAATTTTCATTTATTATCAATGAAAATGTATAAAAATTGTTTATTGGTTTCATGTCATTAAACAAAATTAATTTTCTATATTAGGTTTTAAATTTTACGCTATGAGCGGTAATTGTAACACATAACAGTAATATATCGTTGAGGTTCATTTAATTTAATCTTCGCCCGTGGTTATTTGTCTATTAATAATAAAAATTAATACAAATTTTTTTTATTTTTAAAATAAATAAAATATTTTTTAATATTATATTTTTATACGTTTTCGAAGTACAGAGGTTTTAAATTAAAATTAAAATTAAAATTTTTAATTTTAGTTTAATTTTGTATTTAAATTAAGATTAATTAGAAAATTAATATGGAGGATTGAACCTTATTATAGAGTATTTTATGGTCGATTATAAATGTCATCTGAGTTCTACGTCTACTCTATTCAGTTCTTAATTATGTTTATATGTATATATATTTAATATATCTGTATATATTAGTTTTATATACAAATTCATATTTATATATATTAAATTTGTTTATTACATTAATTTGATATTAATTTCATAAAATGATGAAGATTTTCTAAGGAATAGTTAAATACTGTAGCAAAGTATTATTATGTATTATTATTATATTATAGATATTATTTAATTAATTTTGTTTGTGGCAAAATCTCCTCTTCTATCTAGGTAGAACTTAAGTATCGTTTTTTTACAATACTATGTTTCTAAATTACCACAGTTTAGCAAATTTTTCTTTGTTATATTTGGATAATATTACATTATTTTATTTTTATGGTATCCCAAATAAATAAAAATTAATATGTTTTAAATAATTTATCACACTTTATGTTTATATACTTCATTGATAAAGACTTTAATATATATTTCTTTGTACAACCGATTCAAAAAAACTAGTATCCAGTGCCGTAAGTTATTACATTTAAAATAAAATATTCCTCGTACTACAACTACTAATATTAATAATGTTGATATTTGTAGAACTGGTTCTAGGATTATTACAATGACATAACCTATTGGTTTCGATAAAAATATAAGTATATAATTTATATAAGCAGGGTACCTTCCAATTGAATTGATTTAATGCAAATTGATTTAAAATAAAAATAAAACATATTTATTCAAAATGCAATTAAAAAGAAGATATAATATTTATTATTTCAAAAGGGAATGATTAGCTGATTATCGAAGTATAAGTAGATTTTTTTATAATTCTAAAGACACTCTCACCTTGATTAGATCAGCAGAGTTCGGAATTTGGAGAATTTCTGTATGGCATTTACTGTCAATTTTTTGTATCAATACAGAACCGTCATTTACATATTAATTGAACATATGGATATTAAAAATTGAAATTCAGGTGATAGTTTTATCATCGATATTACTGGCATTGATTGACGGATTGAAATATTTAAAATAGTTTTTCAAGAATATTTATTAGTAAATCGGGGTGTTTTTTATCAGTTCTAGTTTTTTAGAATTGATATCGAAATATGCAGTTCATCTTACATTTTAAAAATTAATTGAGATTATTTGAATATATTTATACTAAGGCACATACCCCATAGCGTCTCAAAGCTCTCGCATCTTCCCGTGTAATGAATCCAGGGATTATATTTATACGTATATCTATTCATTATTAATGCAGCAAGACCGAAGAAGCAAGAAATTGATTTAAATGATTGAATTTTTTTGAAAAACTCTTTGAAGTAAATTTCTGGCTATGGACTTGGATATTATTATAAATTCTTATTATATTATTATATTATATTTTTATATTATGTTAATTATAAGTGGAAAACTATTTTTGATTTATAATTTAATGAATTTATTTCTTAAAGTCCAAGTATTCACAAATATTAAAGGAAATCTTCTGTTCAAATCAGAAACATTTTATAATAAATATATTTTTACGAATTTTAGCTTCGTAAATATTTACTTTAAATTTTTAATAAACTTTTTATAAAAATTTCGAAAATGTACTTATAAGTACATTATAAAAATAAATTTATCTAGATACGTATGAACTCATTGACGCGATCAAAATAGTGTAACAATGATGAAATGTCACGAACTGTTTGCGGTATTGACGTACATTTACATGCGTCCCCGCACCTCCTTAAATGTATTCAAAAGTATCTGCAGTTACAGAGCGAGTTTAAATTCATAATTAAAAACCGCAAAATCAATGTACTAAATAGAAAATAATTGAATAAATATATTTAAGGTTTTTGTTATTTGCAAATGCTTTTCATTTTTAGTTTATATTCTATTTTTGTACTAAAATCATTTAAATTTGAACTCCAACAGTGCCGTCCAATAACGGAGAATGAGCATATAACGATCATAACGACCGAGAACAGTTCAACAATTTATTTAACAGATATAGTAGCCGATGATAGTGGTAAATATACAGTCGAAGTTATGAATGAGCTAGGCACAGACATGGCTGCAGCATCTGTAGCGGTGTACTCAAAACCTGACCCGCCAAGTGGTAAGCCTAGTATTTCGTCTGGACCCGATCGTATTGCAGTTGCTTGGTGTGGTCCACCATATGATGGTGGTTGCATGATAACAGGATTTATGTAAATTAATATAACACTCAAATTTAAATATTATTATTTATTTTATTATTGTGTATACACAGCATTGAGATGCAACAACTGTCGGCTGGACTTGAAAGCAATTCAGCGCCAGAATCTGATTGGCAAGAAGTAGCAACAGTTGTCGACTCTCTAGCGTACACTGTTAAAAACCTGAAACCGCAAACAGCTTATAGGTTTCGAGTGCGCGCAGAGAATGTGTATGGCCGCAGTGAACCGAGTTTACCAAGTGATCGTGTTGAATTAGCGGCAGAAGACTTGTCAGTGGAAGGTAATTCAAAAACTTTAAATCTATAAATATGTATAGTAATATTTTCTTTAATGAGAACAACTATATTACTTATAGACATTAACTGTAAATTGCGTAAAAAATATTTCAAAGTATTAATAATTTTTTGTTTAATTTTACAGAAATAGATTTCAATCGGCCTATCTGCGTTAAGTCTGGAGGTGATTTTAAAAATCGTTTTGAAATACTCGAAGAATTGGGAAAAGGGCGCTTTGGTATAGTTTATAAAGTACAAGAGAAAGAGGAACCACACCAGGTGCTTGCCGCTAAAATTATTAAATGCATTAAATCCCGAGATCGTGAGAAAGTGAAAGAAGAAATTTCCATAATGAATTCTCTCAAACATCCAAAGCTCTTGCAATTGGCTGCATCGTTTGAAAGCGCAAGAGAATTAGTTATGGTGATGGAATAGTGAGTATATACAGTACAATATAATTAAATATACATTAATATATATATTTTTTCTTTTATTATAGCATAACTGGTGGTGAGCTTTTCGAACGCGTTGTAGCAGACGATTTCACATTGACTGAATTAGATTGTATATTATTTTTGCGACAAATTTGTGAGGGTGTGGATTATATGCACAGCCAATCCATTGTACATTTGGACTTGAAACCAGAAAATATTATGTGCCATACGCGTACAAGTCATCAAATAAAAATAATTGATTTCGGCTTAGCCCAACGTTTAAATGACACTTTACCGGTGCGTGTATTATTTGGCACCCCAGAATTCATACCACCAGAAATTATAAGTTATGAACCAATCGGCTTTCAATCGGATATGTGGAGTGTTGGCGTTATTTGCTATGTACTGTATGTGTTCAATGTATTTATTTTTATATTTTGTGTATTAATCTGTTTTCTTTGGTATAGTTTATCAGGGCTCTCACCTTTTATGGGTGATTCTGATGTCGAAACATTTGCCAACATTACACGCGCTGATTATGATTTCGATGACGAAGCGTTTGATTGTATATCACAAGAAGCTAAAGATTTTATAGGTAGTTTACTAATACATCGTAAAGAGCGACGACTTACTGCTAAGGAGTGTCTGAAATCAAAATGGTTAACTCAAGGACATGATGAAAATCTGAGTAACAATAAAATTTGTACTGACAAACTAAAGAAATTTATTATAAGACGCAAGTGGCAAGTAAGTATTGTGAAATGGATGTTTTTTATTATTAAATTTTACTTCTTGCATGTCTGCATTTGATTAATAGATCTGAAATTTTAGTAAACATTACTACTAATCAAGGATTATATCTTAAGTATCTGTATTTTTTTTTGTTGGTATTTTAACTTGTTATATGATATTTTATTTAGTTTTAATGCCAGATATAGATATAGATATACAGATATAGATAAAGATAATATTGATATTATATAGATAAATACGTCTATAAAAAATTGTTCAATAATCATTTTTTAATAAGTACGAAATACAATAAAAATATTCTTAACTTAACTATATAATATTTGAAGAGTGTAATCGTACCCAATTCTATGTTTAAACATTCATTGGTTGCTTAATAAGTTAACAATACCAATATAAGGTTTGGTTTTCTGAGTATTGACTCTCATAAGAATTAAGTATTTAATTACATAATTGTATATAAACTTTTCACAAATTTCCTTTAAACGTAAACCTAATGAATTGAAATCGATTACACGATGCAGTTATTTAAATTCAAACTTTTGCAGTTTTTATTATTGTAAGCCGAAGAGACCTGATGTACTTGTCCCTATAAAAAGAGATATATAGTCATCTCAAAAGACAAGTGGCTCTAAAACTGATCGCTACTAAAACCGTTATGATTGTTGTAGCTTGTTGTGAGACGTTGTCAGTTCCGAGAGCTCCAACAAGCAAGGAGCAGACTAGGGCAATCATATTAGTTAAAAATAATTGATAGGCAGTGAAGATGGATAGTGAAATTTTGGTTATAGTGGAATAGGATACTGATATAAAGTAATGTAAAGAAAAGGAAATGGAGAAAATAATTCTGACTCTCGTACCTACCTGTGTAAACTATTTTACTATTTTAATATAATAAATGCATAAATTAGTTATGTGTGCTGTGGGACGTATGTAAAAAGTAACTTTTAACCGTTTTAATTTGTATCAATTTATTCAATTTTCAGTCCCTATCAAATATTCTTCCTGATTGCTCTAGTACAACTTTACTCGCTCAATATAGTTTTTCTTGTTATAGCTTTAACAGTTCTTAAATATGTAAATTATAATATATAATATAATATACATATAATATATGTATAATATATATTAATATTATAGATTTCACTCTATATCGGACTTTTTTGTTCTTAATGTCTGGATGATAGAGCTATTTTATGGGTAGGCATATACATAATACATTAAGACCGAAAAGTTTTCGGAAATTCTCATTTAAAATTCGCGCGCTTTATATTTTTCGATATTTTAAGTTTATGTAGTTTGGCAGCAATTAAGGACAATTACTATGCCAAAAATGAGCGCGATCTGTCAGACAGTTCGTTTAAGGCAGCTGTTGAAACCAGTTCACCTCAGTAGTGCGTTGCGAAAAAAACAATGGAAAAAAATATTGAACAAAGAGTTTGCATCAAATTTTGTGTTTCGAACGAAATTTCGTGTGCAGAATCGTTGCGAATGCTACAAAAGGCTTATGGGGAATCAGTTTTATCGAAAACTCAAGTTTATGAGTGGTACAAAGCCTTTCAGGACGGTCGTACGACCGTCGAAGACATTTCGCAACGCACTACTGAGGTGAACTGGTTTCAACAGCTGCCGTAAACGAACTGTCTGACAGATCGCGCTCATTTTTGGCATAGTAATTAAGGACAGTGCTGCCAAACTACATAAACTTAAAATATCGAAAAATATACAGCGCGCGAATTTTAAATGAGAATTTCCGAAAACTTTTCAGTCTTAATGTATATTAATTATCCAATCATTTGCCTAAATTAGCACGATATTATATGTCATATAATGTTATGTAGTGAATTTGTATTACTTTTTTAATCAAATTAGTTTGATCACTGATATTATTATAATTTCTTTCATGGAGAGTTCTATTTATCTATTACTTTCTAGTTTTAGACATGTTTACTTTTAAACATGTAAGGATTTCTGTTCTTTTTATGTAAAGATTTCTTTGTATTAGTAATACTTATTATTCTTGTTGAATTTTTTTTTATTTTACTATTTTACTTATAACATAGTAATATATTATAGAGATGTTGCGATTCTCAAATATATAAATTAATAATAATTAAAAAAATAATGTTTATTTAATATTTATTTAAAAAAAAAATGACTACATACAAATTTTATTAAATATTAATAATGTATATTTTAAATAACAAATTTTAGTATATATATATATATAATTGCTGTATATGTAGTGTTTTTTATTTTTATTTTAATTCTGATTTGTTTTGTTTTATTTTAACATTTATATTATTAATTTTTATTTTCGCATTTATTTAAATTTATTACTTTTAATTTTAAATAATTAAATTGCTTTAAAATGCTTGATTAATGTGCTTTAGAAAACTGGCAACGCAATTAGAGCTTTAGGCCGCATGGCTACATTATCTGCTTCACGCCGTAATTCCGCTGTTTCCAATTCCTTACCCACCAGTCCCAGACCCTCAGTGTCGGGTACATCTATTTTCAATCCAAATTTACCTGCACAAATGAGTTCGTTGCATGAGGAGGATGACGATTTCAGTATAGAGTTACCAACTCTGGATGCCCAACGCAGAATGCAGCAATCATTAAAAGTGCGTGACAAATCTTATTGCAGTGAACGCAGTGATTCCGGCTATAGCGAATGCTCCACATGCAGTGGTGGTCCATGTCACTGTATACACGCGACCAAAGACTCTGAACGCGATGGTTCAGAAACAGTAAGAGACGAAAGCACAGTATTGTCAATTGCTGTACCGCATGATGTACTTAAATCGAAGCTAGAACTTATTGTCAAGCATTCTGATGCCATAATCAGCAGCGAAGGAATAAAAGAAAAGATGCTTATTACAGGAAAACAATATAAACATGATATCGGGATCAATGAAAATCGTGAACAGCAAGTAGAAATACAGTTCGCTTCCTCAGGGGAATTAACGACTGGTACGACAGTAACTACAACAACGAAGGAACCGATAATGCGTTCCGATTTTACAAACACAATAAAAATGCGCAAAAAGTCTCTTGAAAATAGTGTAATACGAGAAAAAGTCAAACAACCGAAAGCCGTACTAGAAACTTCTGGAAAGGTTTCTATGTTAAAAACCAAATTTAGCTGTCCTGCAAATAATAGTTTAACAGTGAGTCACGCCGCTAGCATTAACAGAAGTTACAAGAGCAAAGATTGTATGGATTTAGCAAAGAATAAAAATGTTTTGAATCGTTTTGCCTGCAATAATAAAAGTATTATATTTTTTTAATAATCTATTTTGCATTTCTTGAAAGAATATGAATTATAATTTTATACGATTGTTTTTTTTTAGCAAATGGCACACCACAACTTATTCAAAAATCCGAGCCAGCACAGTCTATTTCCATGCCAAACTCACCATTACCAACGCGCGCAAATGCGTCAATCCGGTTAAGTCCCCGGGTTAGAGAGGCTACAGAACGTCTTTCACAACAGCAAACTATTTCTAGTTCGATACGTAGAAACTCTCCAGAAAGATTAGAAAATAGAAATGACATAACGTCCGCGCAGCACAGCACTAGGCACATACTTACCTTCAAAAAATCATAAATTATGTTTTTTAAATGTTAAAAATTTTGTTAAGATTTTTTATTTTAAGCGTCTCTGTTTGTTCTTGTTTTTATATTTAATTTGTATTTAATAAGCATTTTACTCATTCAATAACCCACAATAAAACGAAAACTCGAATGAATATTACACATATATATATACATATTAAGCATTATTACATAAATTTAATGTTTATTTATATATTTATATACACGTAAATTAATTGAATTATATTTATATAAAATGTTGCAAAATCGAAAAATGTTCAAAAAATAAAAAAAAAATTATTTAACTATTGCATAGTTAATAGTTTAACGTAGCTAAACGAACTGCTTATTTCTATATCATGCAGCTAAAATATGTTTTCACTTTATAAAAAATTATTTTTAATTTATATACAAAAAAAAACAATAAAAAAGTAAAACATAAAGATTAAAACGTTTTCCTTAACTATTTACAGTTTATGTGTATAGTTCAGATAAGTTGGAAAATTTTTTAACCCCTACCTATATAACGTTTACGGACCTATGTCGTCTGACACCAACAAATTTATTAAGGATCTGTATCGACTCGATATCTTTTGAAAACTCCCATTAATCGGAATAGAGGCGCAGACTCAATTCCGGGTCTAAAAAGTATCGGGAGAATGGGCAAATTGTTTGAAATCTTATCGAGAGTATGTTGATAATACCAATAATACCAAAAATAGGACATACCTACATTGCAGACTTGACAAAATAAACTTTCATGTGATTCAGATTTCTTGAAAAACACTATTACGGTTTATGTTGAAACCGTTCAACTGTTGATCTTATAAACATGGTTCATATTATATTTGAAGAGTGCAATGACTTTATGTAACATATCTACAGAAAACTCAAAGAAGTACTAGATGTCTTCAAATATAAATCTCAGGATTATAAAATCAACATCGACGAGTTCAAAAAACGAGTGCTACAGAATAGCCAGATACAAGATGATTTCTGTGTAAACATGGAAGTTTGGCAAAGGTACCATCTCTTTCTTATGCCATTCGTAACTGTTTAAAACGAAATGTTAATACTATAATGTCGTTAGGCAGTCACCATACAACTCAATAGGGACCTGTTTTTATCTATGTTATACTTGCAGATACCTTCAATATCTTAATCAAACCCTGTAAAAAGTTAAATTAAAAATCTATAACTTTAAAACTATAGTAATATTCCACTGCTATAGTGTCACGAACAATCTTTCTGTTAAAAATTTTAGAGCGGTGTTAATTTTTTATACTTACGAAAAGTAGTGGAACTGAATAAATGCTCAAATTATTAACAACAATCTCGTTATGCACTTCGTCTACCTTTTTGATAGGTTGTCTCTACTTTTTTCAAAAAACATTTATCAACACAGAGATATTGCTCTCAAAGCATATATTATGCAATAACATCAGTAAGGTCTGTTTGATCTTAAGGTTTAGTTTTTCAAAAAGCTTTGTTATTCAAATTTGACTATCTAAGCGGTTTTCGATGTAACCTTTCTTCAGTTCTTCGTGTTCTGATTCGTTAGGTTCAATACTTATTGGTCTTAGAATCATTAAAAAAAAGCTTGATCATTAACATAAAGCGTTTGGTTTTGAAGTTTTTGAAGTGGTTTTCATTTACACAATCTAAAATTAGTAATAAATATCTCACAGCTAAGGTTTCCAAAACTTGTGATGTCTCCAACTCTTTTCAATTCTCCAACTCTTTTCAATTACATTTCAAGTCCCAAAATATTACAATACCTCATCGCAGGAAACCTGATCAGTTTTAACTACTTTTAACAATCCAAATGGCATAAGTCCATCATTTTACATTTCAAAACTTTTCTCTCGGAACGTAACAATATAGGGTATTGTGCTTGCTATATTGTAAATAAATAAATGTTTCTTTCTATATTCTTGTTTTAATATATCCATATCGGGTTTTTACCACATACTAAATGTATCTTCAATACATTAATAGACCACATAGATTCAGTTGGTATAATTTTATTTTGGAAATTAGAAACAGTTAAAATACCTTGAATAACAAATTTTAAATTTGTACGATATAATCCCTTCGAATTACAACATTTAACCTTCGAATGGTTCTTTTTAGTTTCCTCATTAACCCAAATTCTTGTATAATTTCCATATTATATAGATGCTTTCACATCTAATTTTGTAACCCATAAAAATTTTAATAATATTAAAGGCATATAAATAACTTAGTTCCTAAAGATTTCGACATAACTAAATTTACTTAAAGATCTACAACTTAAATTACGACAAATTCATTTCATTGGTCTTTCTCGTGGTTTCAATTTAACCCATAATCCACCTGATGCACGCAATGTAATACGAAATGTAGCTTCAAATGTTGTTTTTCCCGGAACTGGAAATATCTGATAGCTACGCAATAACCGGGAGACAACTGTCTTCATTTCCATAATTGCAAATCGATTGCCAATACAATAACGAGGGCCAGCGCTGAAAGGTATGAAGGCGTATGGATGCCTATTTTCATTGTTTTCTGGGGCAAATCTTGTTGGATCAAATTTTTCTGGATCCGGATAAAAGTGTGGTAAACGATGTGTAGCATAAGGGCATATAAAAACATTACTACCAGCTGGTAATGTATATTTTCCCAGACGTACTTCTTCTCCCAGTTTGCGAGCTATTAAGGGAACACTTGGATACAATCTTAGTGCTTCCTTAATGCACATTTCTAAATAACGCATTTCACGTAAGTCACTCATAGTTGGTGATCTTTTGTTATCATCAGCAAATATTTGATCAATTTCTTCACAGCATTTTTGTTGGCAATCAGGGTTTTGGGCAAGCAGAAATATAGTAAATGCTACTGCTGCTCCAACACTATCTTGACCAGCTAGCATAAATGTACAGGCTTCGTTTACGATATCTTCTTCAGTAAAATCAGGATTAGTATCAGCGATTTCAATCATATAATCAAGAAGGCATTTACGCTCGTTACTGTTGTTGTTGTTATTGTTTGTATTATTGTCCTTTAAAAACATTTCTCTACGACGTTTAATCATTTGACGTGTAAAATCATTTAGTCGTTGCTTCTGATCAAGTTCTTCTGAGGCAAGTTTGGTCATGTGATAAATGCTGTCCAATAACAACCAAGGTTGCACAAATCGCTGTGGTATCACCACTTTACCTCTACAAAATAAACGAAAAATATTAATAAAGGTTTTAAAAAGATATTAAAATAGCAATTTCGTGTACTTACTGTCTAAACGGTGACTGTTCCATATCTACTAAACCCTTCTTTTTAACTGGTACACCAAGAACGGCTTCTGCAAATATTTTAGAAAACACATCGTAAAATATTTTCATGAAATTTTTGTTAATTGCTATATATAATTTCTTATTATATTTACCATTTAATATATCCATTACACAATTATTAACAAATTTTGCTATATTAATTTCATTACAATCGGTGATGTCTAAAGTCTCACATAAAACCTGTGACGCATCTGCAAATGTACCTATAAATTTTTCTAAAATGTGCAGATGGAACATTGGTTGGATCAGTTTGCGATGAGCATGCCATTTATCTCCACTACTGGTAATTAGTCCATTACCCAAAAAGTTATGCATTAGCTTGTAGAAAAAAGATTTATTTGTGTGTTTCTTGGAGGACAGTACTATCTGTAAATCATCTGGCTGCAGTACTACGAAAAATGGAAACAGCAATACCCACACGCGCACCAATGAACCATATAAATTAAAGGCTGGAGCAACACGATTTCGTAATACTTAAAATTGAAAGAAAACATTTTTTCATATTAAGTACTCATTAAATCTTCAAATATAAACTACTTACAATCTTTTTCTTTGATAAGTAGACAGTTGCCTAAAAATGGAACTGATGGCGGTCCAGACAATTGCAATGATAATAACACCGATTTTAGATAACCCCAAAATGTATAAATGCTAATGCCTATGATAAGAACTGTGGCAAAACTCCATAGCTCCGAATTTGAAGCACTTCCAAGCTGTTTAAAATTTAAAACACATTTTAATAAAGGTTTGTGTTATATAATTATACCTGCTAAATAATTTATTTTCATGAAGATTAATTAAATTTTGATTTAATTAAATAAATTAAATAATAAACATCACATACAAAAATAATTATAGAAAAAAATCATATTATAAAAAGATCACACTCCATATGAATCACCCTACTAAATGAAGCCAGTTTGATTTACGAAGTAAACGCATTCACTTCATTAATGCAAGCAGTCACAGCTCACACAAATTCATATATTAATATAAGCAAACGCTAATGTCTAATACTAACAAAAATTCAAACAAAAAAAATATAAAACACGTAACATTTGTTTCGATCATCGCTGCAAGAAATAGACAAAGGAAAAGAAAAACTGCTTGTTGTGGTTGACAAATAAATTTACCATCAGGCTTAAAAATTTCTTAAGAAAACTACTGTATAAACATTTGCTGAAAAATAAACGACGAAGTACGTTTTTTTTTAAAAAGATTTATTCAATTTGGACTATTTAGTACCGATTGTATTTATCGGATATATTCTAGTATCCAACCTGAAATCCGGAAAGGTTTTAATGTGAAATCTTACTTATGTTTACTTATATTCTATTTGTAAAAATCAACAAACAAATAGTCTATACACTGACAAATCTCTTTTTGGTTAAATCGATTCATATGAGGTGATCAAGAGTTCATATTTCTTGAAATAATATTTTTTTAACTGTCATCCGCACAATATATTGACGAAAAATATGTATAAACTCTCCACACTATATTGTGTTCTTTGAATATAAATCACTAAATATTTATTGGAAAGAAAATAATATAACTATTTTGAATTTTTCTATTTACATTTTGATTTTTTATATAACTGTATTTTAAAAAAAAAGTAAAAATAAAAATAAGTCATCATTAGTTGTCTACCAGTGGCGTAACTACAGGGAAGCAACTGGAAGCAACGCTTTCGGGCCCCCGAATTTAGGGGGCCCCACTATAAATGTTTGTAAACGTTTTTTGTTGGAATAACTTCATATTGCATTTTATAAAAGATACGTTAATTTTAAATTTAAAGTACATAATATGTATGTACTTCAAATAAAATATTAAACCTATTTATAAAATAAAAAAGTTTTTCTAAGAAAAATATGTGTCTTAATCGAGAGTTTATATGGAAGCTATATCTAGATTTAAACCCATTTGAAAATAATTTTGTACGTTGTCTTTTGCAAATATCAGTACTGTATACACCAAATTCTATTTAAATACCTTTATTAAAAACGGAGAAACCTCATATCCGATTGTTAAATTTATATCACAGCTACAAGAAATAGACGTCCAATTTCAATCAAATCAAATGGTGAACAGGGTCGGCTAAAAGTATGTGTGTAAAGTTTCATTTGAAGAGTTCAAAACCTGAGAGTGTAGTTTGAACTGAAAAAGTATATATATACTGTACTGATATATACTTCATGATATTTCCGACGTTTCCTTTAATGCGTAACGAAAATCTTGACAAACCTTACATACCCTTTTCACATTTTTCGTGTAAAGAGTATAAAAAGAGGGGCCCCTTAGTATGTTGATAGGGGCCCCTTAGTTAGAATTTGCTTACAGGCCTAAAAAATGTAGTTACGCCACTGTTGTCTACACAAGTTTTTTCGATTCAAAAAAGTTTAATTATATTATTTTCAAATGGAACCATCAACATAATAAACCTAATAATAAACCAGCTCGATTGAACAAAATTGAACACCTACACATGAAACTATATAGCGAACGAAATTTTATATGAAATACATTATAATCATTAACAGTACCGATACCGGTGAACTTTTATATTTATAAAATGTGAATATAAATTTAATGCTTAGAAGTAGCACAAAACAGCAAACTTGAATTAAATAAATTGAATTAAATAAATTTATATAACCAAATAATGATTTATTTAAGTAAAGATTTGTATTAAGTCCACAGATGCGTACATTTAATTAGTTTAATTCATATATTTTTTCACAAATTTTATCCAATAGATAAGTGAAAATTGTGGAAATACTTTTAGTACCATTGCATATGGATTTAGCACAAACTCATAAAAATAATATAGAGATGAAGGAAAGTTCACACAATTGTTATCCGAAACTATAACATAGATAGCAGATATTATTAGTACTATAGTTCAGTATTACTTCGCATAGATAAAGATAGAATATGTCAATAAATACATTATTCTATAATTAGAACTGAATCTGAAAAGTATCTGGATTGACACTTCTACTTTTGATTTGTCAATTTCCCATCTCCATCCTATCCCATCCACCCAGATTCGGTACTTTTGACAGCTCGCAAAGTATGGCAAAAAAAGTAATTTGATGGACATTTGGCGAAAAAGAAACTGCTGTTCCATCAAGACAATGCACGTGTGCACACTTGTCTGGTCACGATGGCTAAAATCCACGAATTGGGATACGAACTGCTACCCCATCTAGCATATTCTCTATGTCACTCTATCGTAATAACGATAATGACAATAACTAATACAATTAATATTGATATAAATATGCTATGGGCAAGTTAGATTTAGAATAGATTAAATATATCAGAAGTCAAAGAAGGACTTTTAAATAAAACTCAGACATTGAGCTTAGGTATATCAGGAAATTGGAAGTGAATTCGATGTTTGCCAAAGTATTAGACTTTATAGACCATAGGATTGTATGGTTTGTAGTATTGGGGAATAAAATTTCCTTTTTTTTTATTTGAAAATATACGACAAAGATTAAGGATACGAAGAGGTTATATGAGACGCAAACGCCTGAGATCACGTTCTTAGAAGATACAAAAATGTTTCAATTCCTTAGACGTGAGAATACAACGATCTTCTAAAAATCGAATATGTACCAGGTTTTGTCCTATTCGGGTTGAAGAAATGATAGCGTTGTTAAAAGGCTTGTCAGTTTTTTTCGTATTTATAGTGTGAACATTTATAATATTACGAAGGTCTATATTTTAAAGAGTGGAAAAGATAATGCAGGGACAGTATGTATTAGTTTTCACTGCTGGCTCAACCACCTCAATTCCAGGTATGAATTCATGTTTGGGGATCCACAATATTCTACATTTCTTGGAGTGAATAAAAACACAGACCTTAACGTAACCCTATTTATGACCGTATTTATATAAGCATATATAAAAGTTAGCCAAAAACTCAATTTATTTTTTTAATTTAATATAAACAAGTAAAATATTTCATCTCAAAATGTAGTATTTTAAAATAAGTGTGTAATTCTTTTTAAATAGTTTTTAAAGAATTCCAAGAAAAATTAAAACATTTAAGGTCATAAAAACAAACATGGGTTTAAATAATGCGTATTATTATTAATTATGTTTTATTATTTACTAAATTTTTTTTCATTCTTCTGGAACCCTCATTGATAAAGAAACTAAATAAGAAATTTGTCATCTTACTTCCATTTATCAATCGCTTTGTTTTATTTACGAGGTCAAAAACATGTACGACTTTAATGATAATAGATGTAGTAAGTCAAAGCATACACTCTACAAAACAAAGGAAGATCGACAATCGGCTGAAGTAATTTCACACGGTTAGAATTGCCCACGAGTAAATCTACATTGTGAAGGTGTGAATGTTAAGTGAAGTGTGGCAGTGAACATTTATAAAAGTGCAATAGATTTTTTCAAAATATTTATCGAAATTTATTTGTTTATAAAATTTTGAAAAATATAAAAAAAAGTCATATGACATCTTTCGGGAATGACAACAAACCCAGATTTAGGTACATTGTCAGTAGTTGAGAATAAAAAATTGTTTTGTGTTGGTGACAATAAATATTTTTGAATAAAAAAAAGAGATCTTTCAAGGTACTGTTCATTACGGGAATTTCTCTATACAACTTGTTAGTCACTTAAACTATATATCTACATACATGTATATACAGTCAAACTTCCATAACTCAAAGTTCCATTTTGCAAACAAAAGGTTCGACTTATGAGGACTTCGAGTTTGAGAATTTTTTTATTTTTTTTTATTTTTGAAAGAAATTATAATTATATTTTAAGATATTTATTTATTTGAATTAGAAATTAGTGTATGGGATTTTAATTTTTTTTTGTCATTTTCAGTAAAAAGACATTCCATTTGATTTAAAGCCTCATATTGATCATCAGTTGTAGTATCATTCGTTTGCAAATATAAATTGAGAATATTGAATGAGTCTTCTATTTCATTCTTGAAAGGCTAAAAAACAATTACATCCACCGAATCCTCATCATCACTTTCCGTTGCGCTTAGAATTGGATCCAATAATTTAGAGCTATAGTGTTCAATAATATCGTCATCTGTAGGAAGGCTTGATGTACAAATTTCATTGTTAGCTCAATATAATCGTTAAGAGTAGCATTGGAACTTATTTTATTTACTTTAAACCACGCTGCCAGCGACTGACTGAAGTCCAAAAAGGGACTTCCCCTAACACTAAAATAGATTCATACTTAAAACAAAAATTCGACTTATTGAATGCACTTTTCCACATTCCTATTGGCACATGACAATATTTTTATTCGAGTTTTAGATAAGTTCGAATTATGGAAGCAGAATAGTATGTAATTTGCTCTCTAAAACCCTGTTGAGTGCCTGTTTAGTTCGAGTTACAGAAAATTCGAGTTACAGAAAATTCGAGTTATAGAAGTTCATGTTATGAAAATTTGACTGTATTTATTATTCAATGGCCCCAAATTGAAATTTAAATTAGATATTCACAAAACCATTTTCGGAATACAAATATTATTAGAATAATGTTCGCTTTACATGTTACTGAAGATAAGGTACAGAACCAATTTATTTAATTTTACTATTGTCCTATTAATTTCAATTCTATAAAGCTCTGTAATCGTTAAATACTACCAACTTTAGAGTCGTAGATATAAGGCCATGACAGGTACTACAAATACATAGATCGGGTGCTTAAGCTGATCACTATTGACTCTGCCTTTAATAATTGTACATTTAATATATTATTAAACTACTATTATGATTATTTTTCATCTGTTGGTTCAATTAAGACTTATCATTTTGAGTAATCTTTTATAGACTTCTGGTGAACTGTAATAATATATTGTAGCTGTCAGCAAAACTAAAACCTTGCTTGTATCTTTGCTAGGTACAAGTTCAAAAAGGAATCACTGGTGATGATGCAGACAATATTGCAGACAATATTGCAGAAACGTCTTCAGATAAGTAACTCTATGAAGGTCTGTGTAAATGGAGCTAGCACAGAATTATAATTTAGTTTGACAAAGGAATAGGTTAAGTTATGATGTACCGGTAATTCAAAGGGATCCACTTAGGTCTATAGGCCTATTGTATTACCGTATAAGGAAAAAACTCAGAAGTTTGAAAACACCTTAAATGTTTGGCAAAGCTTATAAAGCTATTTAAAGGACGTCTTGCAGTTGACCAAGATTTTCAAACAAGAAATCCCATAAAGTGAAAAGGCAGTGCCGCGCATATGCTTGATAAGAACAAAGCAGATAGGAGTCACTTATCGGTAAAATTGAAAGGGAAATTTCATCTTCTAGTAAAGTTACTTAATCTGCTGTGACCTGCGAGTTAACCTACCACAAGACTGATATTTCTACAGGGCATCTCAATCAGAGTATAGAATTTGCTTTTAATAAAACGTGGCCAAATTGCATAAAGATGCCTGACAATGGAATAATAATATAAAAAATATCAATACATTGCAGTATGATACTATAGATACTATCAAAGGATTTTTCTAATTTATCTATTTTTGTATAGTAAATTTTTTCTTAGTAAGTCTGAAATAAGGATCGTAATGGATTGGTATTTATCTCGATTACCTGTTTGTTATAACTGAATTTAATCTGTGTCTAATAGTAATGATAACTTAAGCAAAGGATATTGGAACTATAGCACTTAGTTATGTCCATCAACAACTTCTTGATTTAAAGCATATCGATCTTTATCAAATAAGCAGATGTAAATTTAAACTTTTCAATCAGAACTGTCTTTTCAGCTTATAAGATCTATCATGGTACTATAGACTTCACCATTTCTGTACATTGTTTTGATTTTAAATCAATTTAAAATATATAAATGTTTATCTTGTTTTATCTTGAGATAAAATTATAACTAAAAAATGTATTTTTAGACAGCAATAATCAAAATCTCAATCTGAAATATTTATAGTACATTACCCATTTATTTATTATTAGTACTTAAGTCACACTTTCACAACTTTATAACAAAAAAATTGTTCAAATAGTATAAATTATAAACAACTGTACAGCATATGAAAAGTATGTACTTATTACTTACATTAGCAGTATTTAGGGAATACATGTGCTCATGAGTCTTATTTGGTCTCGTCTTTAGTTTTCTTTTCTATTTACTATTTTAACAATTAATTTACACCTATAGGCTTGAGTTGCTTCTAAGGTGCAGATTTAACCAGTTTTGATTTTTAAACAATAATACTTATATTTTTTTTTAAAGATAGGTTCATGATGTATAAAATTTACATATTAAAACAGACAATATTAACAATTTCAGGAAAACTAAATATTAAGTATTAGTATTTGATATTGATTTAGGATTAATTATATATTGTAATTTTCATAAGGTATAAGATTTAAGATTTAAAAAAAATCACAAAAATATATTTTAATATTTTATAAATAATATAAATAAAAATTAAGATGTTCTTCAAAAAGTAGTGAACTATAACATTTAAAATTCATTTTTATTTTATTTTAATTAATTGAATTTTTGGCTGACCATACACGGCTGTTTCGAGTATTGCCAAATACCTATAATCAGCGGTCTTGGAATTAATTCATGTATTTAATTATTTGTAAATAATTTTTTGAGACTGCAAGAAAACGAGCTCGAGCAAATTGGAAGCTCAGAGTCAGTGCATCTAAACTAACTGACCCAAAGCCGTACTTGACTTTTATGTTCGCATATTTTTCCGGAGTTTTGTTAATTTGCTGTAAAAGTTTTATTAACAAATTCACTTGCTGTGTTTATATTAAAACGAAATCATAAACCAGCTGTAGAATAATTAAATTAATAAATTATATTTTTATTTTTAATTGTTAAATTTCAATATTATTCTGCTTGTAGAGGCATTATTTGTTGCATGATTTATATGTTCTTTCTTATGTATAGAACCTAATCTAGAAACGAAAGCATGACTTTCTCAGTATTACGTTCCTAGATTAGGTTAAAATAAATAAATTAATAAAATAAATGTAAATAACAATTTATTTATTGAACTCATGATCGATCCCATAGTAAACATATGGTATAATAATACCAGACAAGATGCTGGGCATATACCAAATTTTTGCAGGCTCTATGTGATGACATCGGTAGTTCAAAAAACCATTTAAAATAAATTTCACACATTACCATATACAAAAAAGAATTTAGTTTAAAAAAAACTTTTTTATATTAATGTATTTTTTTTTACTTTTTATGAAATAAATGACAAAAAATTTCAAGCATTTTAGAAAGTAAAATAAACTGAAAAACACAATATTTTATATTGTATATTGTAAAAGGTGGCGGGGATTAAGGGAAGTCCTTGCTAGAATTACTTAATGTGAGTGCCTGTCGTTAAGGCTGAACAACACGTATAGCTATGATGTGCCAATGAAAGTCCCATTGGTATCCCAAGGGATTTCTTGTATATCAATTGAAGCTAAACGTTGGAGATCGTTTCCTCCTTGGCGGGTATAATTTTCCTGATAATATTATCTACCTATATAAAATTCACTGCAAAAGCATTGCCAAAAGAAATATTTTTAGTACACCTCTTTTTGACACAGTCAAGGCAACGCTAGAAATTGTAAAATTTGCTTTATTAAATCTAACCTATTTAAATAAGAATTATCTGAAGGAAAGAAAATTGAGATTTAGAATGAAATATGTATATGGCTGCATGCTGTATTATTGTATTCATTATACAATATTTTAGATAAATATTTGAAACACACAAAAAAAAATATCACATGTACATAATTTATACATTAAAATTTATTATTTATTTCAAAAATTATAATTTAACAAGAAGAATAGGCTCTTAACGTTATTTATTTGCAAATTAAAAAAATTCTCAGTTTTTGCAAGTTTGTGTAATTTTTGACAAATTACGATCCCAAGAATAATTCTTTGAACTTTTATATAAAGAATATACATATTCTATCCGTATTCCAAAAAGTGTTAACAACTCAACTTCTTTTAATAGATATATGTACCTATTTATGTAGTATTTTTTCCAATTTGTTTGCGGTTTTCTAAGTAATCCGTAGCCCAGACGAGTTTTAACAAAATTATTTGTGCAAATAATGGAAACCAATTAGAAGCTTTCAAGGAAACACCGACAAACGATATAAATAATGGTTTGAATTTTTTTTTTTTATATATTTAATATATAATCACGCATGCATCGATGGGCCACGCTTTTAAGGAAACAAAATTTGAACCAAGGGAATAACGAAGACGAAGAGTCTGATAATGCAGAAATATATGCAGGCAGTTTGTAGTACCGACTAAAATTATCTGAGATGGTTGTGTTAATTTTTGAGCCGCTGGTTTACTGATTTATAAATAAAATCAGACAATGCGTATTAGCAATAATCCCACTGCTACCGCTCCATAGTTCATATGCATATGCAATTATTGCTGCATAAATAAAGCTAAGCTCTAAAATTTGTTGTATTTTTTTAAAATTTATTGTCGATAATCATAAAAGTACTTAAATTCAATTATTAACCGATATCGACAATTTCGAAGCGTTTAACTCTTGCTTCCGCTCCTCCTTCTTTTTTTTGTCCAAATTTTAGTTGTTTGCAAAAATAATTAACACATTATCACTAATAAAAATTTATTATTTCCTAATCATTTCATACAAGTTTTTTTTTTTAAACATTTAATTTAGTTAGAAAAAACTTTAAGTGGCTGTCATAAAATTTGGATTTTTATTCATATGACATTTTTAATAAAAACAGTCTTACTCCGTTTTTATGTCCTGACAGAATTAGGATCTATTGAAGTGAATTTTAAGTACAACACTCACCATTTTCTGTATTATCATTTTTATTCTGTTAATGTTAATTAATGTTTTTTAAAAATTTATTTAATGCACTTTTTAAATTTGTATTAAATTATAAAAATAAATTTTTGAAAAATAATATATTAATATTATTTTAATTATTATCAATATTGTATATATTTCACTTGTAAATTAAACTTAAATCAAAAAAGCATTTTTAAAATTATTTAAAGTTATTAACTTAAAATATTTGTATTAAAAACTCAATTAAAAACTGTTTAATTTTTTATTTTACTAATTGGTATTTCGGTTCCAGTTTTTTGCAACCACGTTTCGAATATTTTTTTTGGAACTTTACCGTTTTAACCGCAGACAGCAGAAGTCAAACTTAAAATGAGTCTCCGCTAATGGGGAAGCTTCTATTTATTAACACATTTGGTACTTAGGCTGCGGCCAACGTTAAGATCTCGGTAGGCAGTAGTTGAATGCGTACGTGCGCTTGGGAGAGGTCTGTACTCGGCACGTTTTATCCATGTAACGAATATGATTTTTGTATAGTATCGTCGCTATAGCTAACTAATAATAAAAGCTATAAAAGTGTCCTATGCTCTTGACTCATTTTGTTATTGGCTTATTTACTAAAATCACATGAACGCAATGCGCTATTTTCGTGAGCTTACTTGGTCAATTACGAGTAACTAAATTATTCCTGGAAGCATTTTAACAAAAATATTAAAAAAAAATATTAAAAAAACAAAATGCTAATCACTTCAAAATTAATGCAATTTTATTATATGATTCCTTAATTTATTTGCTTTGTTATTTTTATATTTATTCAAAATGTCTGTTAATGGCTGTTATATGTTCTAATCTGAGCTGGCTAAGATGAAACTTTAAAATAAAAGATAAATATCTTGTGTGCGTTTGATATTTGTATATTTTTTTTAATTGTTGCATAAAAAAAGCGATTAAGTATCTACATTTTTTATCCTGTTTCTAACCAGTTTACTTTACTAGAATGCGACGGTTTTAGTTAACTGTAGTATTTGTAATTAATATTTAAAATATAGTTTATTTCGAATTTACAAAAACTGTATCATTATTGAATACAGCAGTGCTCGGGTATCACTATTTTTTTTTATACTATTTTTAACCAGTTTACTTTACTAGAATGCAACGCTTCTGGTTAACTGTAGTATTTTTTTATTAATATTTAAAATATCTTTTATTTGGAACTTCTGAAAATTATTTCATAATCGAATACAGCAGTGGTCGGGTATCACTATGTTTTTATTCTACTTCTAACCAGTTTACTTGACTAGAATGCAACAATTTTTAAATATCTTGTATCTGGTATTTGTACAAATTTTTTTAAATATTGCATAAAAAAATGATTGATTATCTACATTTCTTATTCTATTTCTAACAAGTTTATTTTACTACTTCAGTTCACTTTAGTATTTTTATTCTTTATTTATTATTTAAGTTTGTTTGACTGATATGCAACGACTTTATTTAATCTTAATATTTTTATTACATATATTTTATATAATAGTCGGAACCGCATTTTATATCCTAGCGTAACAATCTAAACATCTACTTTCTTTAAAAAATTCTTCCTTTTTTCACCCTTTTTTGATTTCTGCTCTTTTATTTCCATTAGTTAAGAAACTAAAATTGAACTACTCATCCACCTAGAACATTTCTTTAAAAAAGTCCCATATTTATGTTAAGTGTATAGAGTCAGTGCTGAAAAGTATTACAATAAGGGTATTCACTCTCTTTTGGATTGTGTGAGCTTGCAATGGACAACAACAAAATACATGCACAAACTTTCCTGCAATTCCTATGTTTTGGCATCTGTTGCTTTTCAAGTGGAGAAGCAACCACTGCAAAAACAGCTGTTTCATTTCGATGTGGCAATTGTGCAACAGAGGTGATCTTGCACTCCGACAATTTTAGTATAGCATTCTTGTATTTCGTACACCTTGCAATGACTTTGCACACAAGACAAAGTAAATACCCCTATTATATTAGTATTAAAGGTATAACATATATACGTTACAACGTTTACCCATCATTAGTAACCTTATTAAAATAAGGTTACATATGTATATACATATTATTATTATTATGTATATACATAATATATATGTTATATATATATACATAATATATATGTTATATATATATATATACTGCAAAAACAGCAGTATATATGTAAACTTATTTTAATAAGGTTACTAATGATGGGTAAACGTTGTAACGTATATATGTTATACCTATAATACTAATATAATAGGGGTATTTACTTTGTCTTGTGTGCAAAGCCATTGCAAGGTGTACGAAATACAAGAATGCTATACTAAAATTGTCGGAGTGCAAGATCACCTCTGTTGCACAATTGCAACATCGAAATGAAACAGCTGTTTTTGCAGTGTATATATATGTCCTCTCTCTATGTGTCTATGTTCTTTACAAAATTGTGTGCGGTAGATATTAATATTATCTTTAACCATACGCTCAAAAAGAACAATGGTAATTAAATATTAATCGAAAACTCCTAACATTCCAAAACAAGAGAAAGAAGTTTTCAATTTTATTGTGACCACTATCGTAACATTTTCTACAGCTTCCAATTTCATTATAACGTGCTTTAGTATAAATGCTGGTAAATCATAAATTCAGTTATTATTAGCCGAAATATGGATCTCGTATTGTGACTACGCCGAAAGTTATAACACTAACCTTATTTTAATAAGGTTACTAATGATGGGTAAACGTTATTACGTATTATACATAATATATATGTTATATATTATATATATATGTTATATATATATATATATATATATATATATATATATATATATGTTATATATATAATATATATGTTATATATATATAACATATATAATATTCTCTTCTCTATTCTCTTCGATAAAGAAAAATGAATTAAAGATTTAAATAACTTTAAGTATATACTTGTTAAAGTAAGCGCTTTGGTGGTGTACATAATAACATTATTTATCTACTTAAAAAATATATGAAATAGTGCCGGTTTAAAGAAATCAAGAATTCAAATTAATACAAGATAAAGTCATATATTGTATACTGGCCTGTAGGAAATGGTTTTCAACGTCCATTACAAACAATTTAACCCTCAGAAAATTTGTTTAGTGGTGCTTTTTGGTACTTTTACATGGTATAAGGTGTTCATTCCCAAGTTAAAATGCACAAGTTATGAGGCGGTTTATAAAGATCTTCACAATCATAATATTTAGAGTTTTTGGTTTTCTGGTTTTTTTGATAAAGAAGTAATAAGTAAATTGACAATTAGCTTAAGAATCTTTGGTACTACAATCCGTGCAACGAATTTATATATTTACCCAAACTATAGCTTTGAGTTGATCAACAAATAAATGTTGAATTAATGTGAGTAAGCTGAATCATCATTTCTTCAAAAAGATAGACTTTCTAGAACATAACACAAGTATGGTATTCTTTTATTGTGAACTGACCTTTGGTATTACCCGTATGTACAGTGTTTCGAAACACAGTTAATTTATTACATTGAGGTATGCCAAAATTTTAATAATAGTCAGTTTTAGTTTTCGGTTTTCTTCCAATAACATCAGTTTTGATAATACAAACATGAAGATAGTGTTTTACTTCTAATTTAAAGTTATAATTCTTCGCAGTTCCTTTATATAAGTACTATTAAACTATATTGTAACTTTAAATTGAGTCAATTGGTTAATAATTTATTTAAGTGTTATTATAAATGTAGACATTTTTATTAAAAATTGTGAGAAAATGTTATTCAAAATGTTCCAGAAAAGTACTGTTAATAATCTTAGTATATTGTTATATAATATTGTTATATAATCTATTCGTTTAGACAAATCTGTTTATGTGAAAACCTTTTATATGTTATTTATATTTTTATTTAAATATTTAACAATATCTAACTTAAACAAATATTATAGACGGGATTTATAAATTACACCACAAGTCATATAAACATACGATTTTAATTTGAAAAGCTTAATTAATTCCAAATAGAGTATTGAGGGTACATATTGGAATTTTGGCATAACTATGTCTAACTGCTTTATTTCTTTTTATACGTGAAATCAGTTATTCCAATTTTAACGGAATTCCTAGTCCAAAAGCTAAGACAAACGTAGAAACTTACTTGAGTAAGTTATTTTAAATAAATAATTATTTACTTAATACTATTAAATTTAGAAAATTAATTTATTAACAGTAGTCCTAAGACTACTGATTATTAACAATTTGGTTAACAATTTCGTTACTAAAAATATCCATAAAAATCCATAAAAAAATTTTTTTTAAATAATTCTCTTTATGAAATATAATAAGTTTCTATTAAATATAACACTTTCGTCTGAAAAATTTGTCGTTAAATTACAACTTCTATTCACAAAATATTGGTCTCGCCCGTGTGACTCGTGGAGTAACATTAGCATAACTTTCTCATTATTAGGTTCCTAAATTAGGTTCTATACATAAGAGAGAATATATAAATAATGCAATATGAATAATCCCTCTACAAACAGAATAGCATTGAAATTTAGCAATTAAAAATAAAAATATAATTAATTAATTCAATTATTCTACAGCTGGTTTATGATTTCGTTCTAATATAAACACAGCAAGTGAATTTGTTAATACTAAAAAAAACTTAACAAAAATTAACCAGAAAAATGTGCAAACATAAAAGTCAAGTACGGCTTTGGGTCAGTTGGTTATGGGGTACTGACTCTGAGCTTCCAATTTGGCAGGACACGAGTTCGATTCCTGGTACTCGCAGTCTCAAAAAATTATTTACGAATAATTAAATACAAGAATTAGTTCCAAGACCACTGATTATGGGTATTTGGCAATACTCGTAACAGCTGTGTATGGGTAGCCACAAATTCAATTAATTAAAATAATATAAAATGAATTTTTGTTGTTGTAGTTTCACTATTGTTCGAAAAACCTCTTTATAAAATAAATATATAATTAATTAAGTTTACAAGTACATTACTTCAGATACACACATTAACTTCTTAAAGAAAAAATCGCTAATTATTACACTAAGTCATAGTTGTACTTCATATTATTCCATAAAAATAATTAACACTGAATTTTTTATTCATATAATTAGTCTATATTTACATTTATATAAGTAAATAATAAAGTATTTTTTATTTAGCTAATAAAGTATTTATCGATAAATAAAATTCATTGACATTATGACTCCTACTTCCAACCTCATCTGGAATCTTGATATGTACTTTATATATGTATACTTAGAAATTTTTTATTTTTTTAAAATTGACATATTACATACTAATGCTTGTGTTAGAACTGAAAGTTAGACCGCGTGCGAGTATCTTTTTGATTGAATACATTAAGATCTTAATTACTTTCGATTGTTAAGTAAACTGTTAGTGCATTTACTTAAAGCAAACAAAAATAATTGCTGCCACTGAAAACGAAAATCTTAAGTTATAAATTATAAAATCTCATCGACTTTGTTTGCGATTTTCCTACCAGAGGTGCTATTTTGTGCAGTAAATGATAAATATTGACATTAGACTAACTTATAGGTGTGTTAAACGAAGTGTGGCATGCGAAGTTGTTGCAAATTAGTTTCGAAAACAACTTACAAAACAAAATATCACTTTGAAAAATTATACAAACTAGGAAGAGGTAATATTTTGAGTTAATTGTGTAACTTGAGTCTCAATTCAAATTATTAATTAAAAAAAAAGCGTTAACTGAATGAATATTTGCCTAAAAATGCGGTTACTAATTTTTATTTAATTTATTTTAATTTTTAAAACCCGAAAGTATATAATTAAAGTAAGACTGCCCAGTTTTTTTATTAACTAATTTTAATCCCAAATGTATGCTACATTTTTCTGTTTTATGGAACGAATAAAAAAAGATCGTTTCCAAAATATTTATTTTAATTAGAGAACGTACATCCTGTGTTTTTAGGCCATGTGCGAGTAAATTGATGATAAATTGACAGAAATAGTAAATTATGTCGGTATGGCAGCGAATGTTGGTAATTACCAGAATATCGAGTAGGAGAAATTAGATAAAAATTAGATAAATTAGGTGTTACTATTGTGAAAATTTTATAAGATATTTAATAACTAAATAAATAAATTTGAAAACTTTTAACCAAAAATAATAAATAAGTGCAATAAATAAATAAATAAATATTTACATAAGTGCAGTACAAACAACCCCTAGGAAATTTTAATTTAGTTTACCTCAATTAACTCGAACTCGCACACGGCCTTAATTGATAACCTCGAAAAAAGTTAAAACTATAGGTTATTGAATAAATTGAACATAGTCCTGTAGGATCTTAGTATTAAAAAAAAAATAATATCAAGACTTCACATGATATCAATTGGTTTTGAATCCAACATTCTGTGTTTAGAGATCACATCAGTTGTGATCAGTGATACGATTTGGTTAGTTGGTTACTTACTTACATTTGATTTTTAATTATTCAAAAAGTTTGTTATATCGGATATTCATTAAATCGAGTGTTTACTGTAAATACAAAAAAATTTTCCAATTTGTAAATAATTATTTTTTGTTTTACCATAATTATACACTAACTTACAATTAGGTAGTTTGTAATCATTAAAACTTATATTCATGAATTGCAATACGAATTGATTAACCATTCCGCTTATACACAAGATCTGACTGCAAAAGGCTCTTACTTGCTAATAAGCAGTACTTTAATCAGTGGCTACTGTATGTTTCATGTTTGACACTCTCATGTGAAATCCAAAATGCTGTATTTCAAAGACCATGTACTGTTCAAACAATTTAATCTTAAACACCACATAGATGGCGCCAAATTATTCGCAAGTGCTAACAACCGTCTGCATTGAAGCAGTAGATTTTTTAAGATCTATCAGGCAACTGTCTAAAGTTTGCAAGAATGAAAGATATCTTTAACGTCTATCAAGAAATCTTCTGGTCTAATTGAAGTCACAATATTGTCATGTGATAAACAGTTACTGTATATAAAAATTCTCAATTTCTGCCTACTAGAGCGCTATTTCTCATTATATTGTTTATTCATCTGTTTTTATATTCCATTCACACAGTCTTAAAACTACTCCCAACATTATAAGACTACGCCCTGTTAACACTGTAAGACTACTATATCCCCAAAACTTATCAACATTTACCCATTTATGTTGTGTACTGTTGTTGTAACGACCGAAAGTATATTGACACAGTTCCTGCTGAAAAAACAAGCGGTACTTGGTTTTCTTATCAAGATTCCTCAATTCTAACTCGGGATTAGTTCCAACATCCTCAAAACTTCTCCATTCACACTTATGTTATTTATAGTGTGTACTATCTCTTTATATCGTTGTCCTGTTGGCAAAACCCTAGTTGGGATTGATAAATGGCAGTAGGTCGTTTGCGTTGCCAAGTGGCTTCGGTACATCAGCTTTCAAAAGCTTTCAAAATTCAAAATGACCGAACAGTAATAATATATGTCGAGATAGCCAGTCACTTTCGTAGCACTAAAAAGTGTAAAAACTTTTCTCATATGTACTTCCTTCATACAAAACTTTTTTAATATCCCGCGTAATTTAATAAATAACAATATATAATTTCAATAGTATTACATATGAATTATATTAATAACCCATTTCAGTTTTTATTATTAATTTTAACTTGATGCAGCCCAAATAATACATAAAAATAAGACGTCTTTTCTTCACCGTATCTTATTGCTCACTACCATTAAATTTGTATGCTCAAATTTATATGAGATAATTATTTAAATTAACTTAATATTTCAAACTTGAGTAGTATATAATATATTAAACCAAACAAAATGGCAGCTTTACAAAAGCGGTCCAAGACGTACAAGCTGTAAATAAAGTAAAAAATTTTTTTAAAAAAAATTCTAAAATAGTGTAGAAAAATACATTTACCATTTTAATTGAGTTCTTGATTTTGGAAGTGAACTAAGAGGCTCCTTCATAACAAAAAGCCGCGAGCCTATAATACTTTCACGTAAATAAATCTGGTCATTTACATCACTCGTGTCAATTTTAAATCTTAAGATAAAAATAAATAAAATTTTTGATTCATCAATTTGACCTGGAAATTATATTTAGAAAGTATACAGTATATAAGTTCATATTCCACAACCCACTATCAAAACAGAAAGCTGTAAAAACCTTTATACATATATAAAGTACCTTTATATATGTACAGAGCAAGGTGTGTTTAACTTATAAGTAATCAATGTGACGCATTGACCACTGGCTACTTATCGGTACCAGAGAAATGTGAGAAATTTATGTTTGGCTTACATCCTGCGATCTACATTTGAGAGTAAATATATAATAGATTATTTATATACATATATTTATCATGGAAAACAAAATAAATTTAGTACTTAAGAGAGTTTAAACGCAAATGAATACCGGTGCATTAAAAAGGCTGCTCTACGAATCACAAGAACGTATTACACTGTCTCAGCGGAAGCAGTTTTTGTAATAACAGATGTAACACCAATTGATCTTCAAGCAACGGAGCGCCAAAGAGTATACAACAAGAAAATAACCGGCTACTATACTCAGAACCATAGGAAATATGGAACAATAGCACTCAAGGATGATGGACAGCTAGACTGATACCAAATATAATCACTTGGCTCAAACGGAAATCGGGAGACACAAATTACTATCTCTCTCAGATGCTGACCGGACATGCATACTTTTATAAATACCTGTACCGCATGAGAAAGGCGGATCTACTCGACTGCATTTATTTCGAAGGAGATTGTGATGACGCAGAGCACATCACTTTAAGTGTAATATATGGCTCACATTTAGAGAAGAGATAACAGCCCAGATGGACCAATAAATCCCGAAAATATAGTGGAAAAGTTGAGAGTCAACTGAAATGGCTGGCGAACGATAGAGTCATATGTGTTTCAAGTTCTCAAAACGAAGAATTTAGAGAATCAGAAACTAGACTAATAAATAGTACAGACACCAAGAAAATGCGGGGAAAAAGTGGAGGACTGGTTGCAGATTGAAAATCACAAGAGCATTGCTTGAAATGCCATCATAAAAGAGACCCTCCTCGATGTAATACAAACCAGTTCCGAGGGGGAATAAGTCTCGCCAAAGAGATTGAAGTAAGGTTCTGAAATGCTACGATTCGTTTCATATTTACTGGGTCAATGAATAAACTTGGATCTACCAAATTGTTGTGCTATCAACGCATACTCAAAATCATTTCAACTAATCATATCACAAATTTGATAAAACTTGTACACTATAAAAAGATTTAGGCATTGGAGATAGTGAAAAGATGAAAACTAGAAAACTTTGGGCATATTTTAAGGTACCGAAAAAAGTATGTTCTACTTAAATTTGATCATTAAAAAGAGAATTGGGTGAAGGATAGATATGACTCTACGACAGTGATTCATTAATAGTAGGAGACTAGTCTTTTGAGAAGTTGTAAAAAAATTAAAAAGTTACAATAATGTAGGTTAAAATCGATCCCTGGGACTTAGAAAAAGACGATTAATATTTCTACAATAACTTAAAGCTTGTAAAACTATTTCAGTTTTAAAAAATTTCAGACATTATTAAGGTTTTTGATACAGATATATACATTTTTTAAATTATTATTATTTTTATGATCAGTGGAAACAATTTTGAAATGAGATGCAAAGACAACTAATGCACCAAGTAAATACTATACTTAACTATAACTCTATATAATAATATACAATTATGTAATATATAACTATATAGAACTTTAATATATTTCATTTTTACTTACATTTTTTTATCTCTTGGAGACAAGTCTCTATTGATATTGTAAAAATTGGTAGCTTTAAAATCCCATTGACGCAATGTAAAGAACTGCAAAACCTCCAAACCTATACTAATTTTTGTCTGTACACGTACCATGCTTAAAATAAAAGAAAAAAATATGTCATTATAAATGTTAAATATATATATATATAAGAAATATATATATAAGAATTATGATAATATTTGTGTATGCAAATAGGTATATGCTCATATAATACTTACAAACGTCTTTGTCTAAATATAAACATTAGAAAATCTATTAAATAAGCCGGTAACCACATAAAGAGCATTAAACATATGTTATGATAAACTCTATTCATTGTCATAGCACCATCAGGATACCATAAGCCAGCTTCAAAAGGATATCTACAAATATAAGATATCATAATAAATCATAACAGAGTAATTAAACATAAAAGATAGCTGTTAAGATTGGTTGTTTATTATTAATCCCTATATATATATATATATATATATATATATATATATATATATATTTCTAATGGTATTAAATGTAATCATTATTAATAAAATGATTTTACAGTTGCATAATTCTATAACGATATTTGTATCGACTTGTGAATATAACAGCAATGTATAGAAATTGGAATTCTCAAGTATTTTAAAATTTAAAAATACAAATTAAAATTCTCAATCACTTTACAAATATAATTTAATATAAAAGCATTTAGTCTGTATACAGATTATTATATTTTGAAATTATTTTAATACAACTTGTAGCTAGAACAAGATCTTCCGTGTCGTTCATTTTCATATACTGTATGTCAAGTATAAGCTTACCCATTCAAAAAAAAAAAACTTGAAATTTATTTGGCAGTACGGGTATCGAGAAAAAACTTGAAAATAATGAGATTATTCTTTAATTAGAATATGGTTTATGGTTTACTTTACTAGTAAACCGACAATAATTTAAGAACTACTTAAGTTGTGTATTTAAGACGGATATTGCTTATTCGTGAGACTTTTAATAACCGATTGACAAGTTGTTGCCTCACTTATTGGATTAAGGTACTACATTAATGTATTACATCATAATTGAATTATTTAAAACTTGATTACTCTTACTTACTCCATAAATATTCGTCTGCCTTCATTTAAAATCCAATTCCATGTACGTTTTTTTTCAGGACTAATCAATAAATTGTATACTGGTATGTTTTCAGGTCTAAGAGTAATAAAATCAATTTAATTATATAATTTGTGTGCTTATAAATATCCATTAAAATTACTTTTTTTCCATATTACAGTATGTATATGGCAACAGAATTACTCCATTAATTGCTATGTCCACGGGTACTATTTCTGAAGTTAAATCACCATTAACAAGCATTGAACGAATTACGCCTTTACCAGCTCCTACTAGCACTCCAGTTGGTCCATTTAGGTTATCAACCCAACCTGGTAAAGGTTCTGCAACTGAGGGTGTTACTGTGGAAATAGATAAATAAACACTAATTAAATATTTTTTAAATAAATAATTTTTAGTAACAAAATAATATTTTGACCAAATTTAATATTTAAATCTGAAGATAGTAATTTCCGAAAACTACAAATAATATATCACTTTTCATTTTTTTAATAACGCTGCAAAATATAAATCGATCAGGCTATATAATCTATGTACAAATTGTACTAAATATTTTCAATTTATAATTAAAATGCAGTATTTTAATAATATCCTTTTATTTTGCTTATTTGAACAATAAATTATTATTAATTATTAACAAGACGAAATACTATAATATATTTTATGTTTTTTAACCTGATATATTTATACAGTAATAGATATATGAATAAATTGACTTTCATTAACCTATTAACCTTGTGTAATTTATCAAAAACTACGGTTTGCATTCTTTTAAATATTTTTTTGATGATACAAATATAATATATATAGCAGTAACAATATTTCCTCACACCTAAAACTAAACATACATAACTTAATCATTTTTCTTTTATAAAGATTGTCATATAAGCTATATTATTATTATATAGCTGGCCATCCTTCAAACAATTTGATTATATTTCTAACATTTCCGGAATAGGAATTTTATTATTACTATAGTAGGTCCTTTCTTATATAGTAATTGACCATCTTTCAAGCAGCTTGACCATATTTCTGGTATTTCTGGTTTAAGAACTTTATTTCTAATATTTCTCACATAACAAATCAATATTACCTTAATAGAAAAAAAATAATTTTTAAAAATCTTAAATAATTAAATATTCTGCTGAGTATATATGTATATATATATTACATATATGAATAATTTCATTAATAAATTTATTAACCTATTTGTTGGATTACAGGTGGTTATATTCAATTAAGCAATTATATTGCTAGTATCTCCAGAAAAGAGTAACCAACTCAATATTCTTGAAATTTCATTGGAATAATAGATACTACAGTTAATGAGATTATACTGCTATTTTTGATGTTGTTTGTTCATTTTCATCACTTCCGGTAGTAGCTATTATTTGAAGCTACTATTATCTGAACATCAACTCTTTCGATAACATAGTCATGATTTGCATAATAAAATTCAAATCCGCAAAGATGCTTGGTTCGAGCAATCGGGTGTACAACCCGAACTCAGTGGTATGTGATAAGCAAATATCTCCATAACTATAATTGAACTTCCAACTTTTACAGTAACTGTGATCATTCATTTAAGAATTTTTCTATTAAACTTTTGATGTTATGAAATGTTAATAGATCACATTACTAATTTTGTTGCTATTCCAAGTTCATTTTTATTTTTATATATCTGTGGCTTAAGCAACTATTGCTTTTATATATCATATAAGATATAACTTTTTAGCACCACTTTTTAAGTTCGGCAAATGCGAATTCATTTAGAAATTGAAGTCTCGAATGAAATATGTATAACCCAAATATTGGAGTTAGTATTACCTTTAAGCTTTTTTAAATAATTTTCTTTGCTTATTATCTATATTATCTGTTGTCTAAATGGAATTTATTATATTCCAAATATATTATATTTATATTCGAAATTAAAATATATTACACTTTAGTTTGGAAGTCCTAAAGTATATTTTACATAAAGTATACTTAGAGGCATTTCTAGTCTTTAAAACATTTGCCTCTTTAAGAAATAAAATATATAATGATTAAAATGTGAACTTTTTTAATATAGGGTAAATAAGTTCAACTTAGCAGAAAGATGAAATAATCATGAACATTATAAAAGATAAATTCTCTGCTATAAACACAGGGACCTCAATAAAAATACTAAAACCAGTCTGAAGTCTTTGACTTTCGTTTTAATAGAGAAATAATATTTTTTTCTGCTATTGAGATTTAAAATAATAAAATATTTATAATAAAAAGTTTAAAAAAAAATGATTTTATATTTTCAATTAATTATTTATATTTTGTAAAAAATAATATACAAAAATATTACAAGAATAATAAAAACATAATCCCAACAATATAAAAAATGACTCGACGATATGAGAAGTTCAGTACATCAGCGTCTAAACATGGCAGTACACCGTCACTTAAATCTACAGTTTCATAAGTTGAAATAGCTTAAGGAAAAGAATATTAACTTTGGTATGCAGCTTAATTAATGCTACTTAGAACATAGCTAAAACACCAGTCCATTTCATAAGACAGTAGAAGAAGTAACCCACAATGAGGGTTTTGCAAACTCTATCAACAACCCACATACTAAAACGAAAAATTTTTTATAAATTAGAGTTAAATTAGAATAGAACTTAAATTAGAATATAGGACTATTATTACATCTTAGTGTGAAGTCTGGCTTTTGGTAAATCTTCCATTTTCTCTTTCAATATAAATTGACGTCCACCCTTAATACAACTAATTAAATATTCCATTTCAGTATGTGGTGGGTCCATGTCCATGTTGAAGCTATTAAGTTTTTAAATATTTAGAAAACTAGTTCCAAGAAATAATAATTCAAATAAAATAATACATTTCTTTATCCTTTTGAGTCAAGTTTTTCCATAGCCCGGCATATTTTTCTGATCTAAATGTCCATGCATTTAGTGTGAAAAACTGTAAAACTTCCAATCCCGTAGAAATTTTCTGTTGTACACGACACATGCTATAAGATCGAAATTATAAATATAGTTTTTAATAATTAATTCTTTTCTTTTATTTTTAAATCTTACAATCTTTTCTGTCCGAATATTAGCATAAGAAAATCTAAAAGATACGCTGGCAGCCAGTGGAACATGGCAACATTGAATGCATGGTAAAATTTATTTGTTGTTATACAAGGATCGGGATACCAAAGACCTAAATTTAACGGATACTCATGGCGTATAGTCTTAGCCATCTCTATAATGGTACCAATGGGCATTTTACGATGGTCAGCGTTTGTGATGTTGTAAACTGGCACTTCGATGGGTCTGAAAATCATGTTTGTTTAATTACATACATTTAGTTTGGAATATATATTTACCTTTTGGCTTGTTTGTTGAATTCATAAGGTATCACTATAAGACCGTTTATGGCATAATCCACAGGTATAACTTCCGATTTATTCTTCTCGTCAACAAGTACCGAACGTATAACTCCCTTTCCGCAACCAATCATAAGACCAGTGGGTCCATTTAGATTATCCACCCAACCGGGCAAAGGTTCGAATGCGGCGGGAGATACTATTCGTTATTGTGTTTGTGTAGTTGTATGATAGTATTGTGGGCGGGGGATTTGAATATAGTGTTGATGTTGTTGTTGTTTAGTGTTGTGTGTGTGTATTTGAAAAGAAAATTTTGACATAATTTTTAATTAATTGTATTGTACAAATTTGTGTATGTGTATGTATTGTATATTTGTTTGATGATTTGTAATTATATTTGTGTTAGAGAACATTAATGTATTTTTTTGAAAAATGTTAATATTGTTGTGTTAATTATTTTAGCTTTGTGTAAGTGTAAGCATAAGTAAGGGACTGTTAAAACGAATTAAACCGCACATAGTATTAATTACAACACAGTAAATTGTAAACTTCACAGGTATTAACTTTACACACAACATATACGTTCCATAAATATTTATTCTTTATTTATATTTTATTATAGAAAACTAGCAAAAAAGCGAATAAATTTTTTGTTGAAGCACCTTTAAAGTAGAAATATATATGTATGCTATATATAATGTGAATAATGTGTATTATGCACATAAAAATTAATATAAATATTATGAAAAACATCTTAAATTCTAGCTGAAAAATTCATGTATGCAACAGTGGTGCTATTGCGTTATAGGTCCAGTAGCAGACTAATCCGAAAAACAAAAATTTGCAGCATCGATCCAGCAAATACATTCTATAAACACATTTTTATATGTATATATTCAGAACTTTCTAACCTTAAGCTTACAATTTTAATTGTCTACGTGCTCGTGGCAAAGACTCTGGTGATTCCTTTAGCAAATATTGTCGTCCACCTTGCACACACGACACCATATACATTTCTATATCTTCCGTTGGGTCCATATTCATATTAAAACTATATGTGGACAAAATTATAGTGCCTTAATAACTTTTTTATTAAGGTTTTACCTACATTTTCTGATCAGCTTCCGACAGTATGTTCCAGAGTGAAGCATATCCAGTGGACTTGAAGTCCCAAGCACGCATTGTGAAAAATTGTAGAACCTCTAATCCGATTTGTACACGATTCTGTACGCGTATCATGCTAATGATAGTCAAATAGACATTATATACATACTTACTAAAAGTTCCATTTTTAAAAATGATATAACATAATAGACCTTAGCTGAGGTTATGAATAACTTACAAACGTTTTTGTCCTAATATAAAAAGTATAAAATCTATAAAGTAAGCCGGCATCCAGTGAAAAAGTAATACATTTATTTGATGGTGAAAACGGTTAGTAGTTATGCAGCCGTCTGGATACCATAGTCCAGCCTCAACCGGATACTGATAGCCAATTTTTTTACTCAATTCAATTACCTCGCCCCACGGAATTTTGCGATGATCAGCGCATGTAATGTTATAGACCGGTATGTCGTTTGGTCTAGAAATGTGAATCTTCTTCAAAATGTTTTATATAAGGTTTCGTTTAAAAATACCGATCCTCAATGCTGAATTTGTACGGTATGGTAACAAGACCATTAATAGCATAATCCACTGGTATAACTTCAGATTTTTGACGCGTGTCGATTAACATTGAACGTATAACGCCTTTACCAGCCCCAACCATAAGTCCAGTGGGTCCATTTAAATTGTCCACCCAGCCAGGTATCGGTTCATATGCTGAAGGTGATACTACATACGAGTATCATTAGCGTAAAGCAGTTGACATTTATTAGTATACATGGTAGATGGGTGGCATATGGCACATGTGGGCCATAACATCGAACACATTTATATACAATAGGTTTAACCCACGCAACGCGTGTTTTTGTT